CCTCCGCCCCTCGCGCCTCCGCCCCTCGCGCCTCCGCCCCTCGCGCCTCCGCCCCTCGCCTCCCCCCCAGCCCCTCGCGCCTCCCGCCCCTCCGCGCCTCCGCCCCTCGCGCCTCCGCCCCCTCGCGCCTGCCCCCTCGCCCTGCGCCTCCGCCCCCGCGCCTCCGCCCTCCTACCAGTCTGGATGTGGCTGCTGCTTTAATTTCGTAGTTGTAGGACTTCCATTCAGCTTGATTTCAGGAGGTTTTGAATGATGGTTGTTCTGTAGTTTAGTTGTAACTTTGATGTGGTTGTGGAAGGACAGATACCGCATTTACCTATGCCGCCATCTTGACCGGAAGTCCCCTTGTTTTGTTTTTTAATCCTCACCTGAGGATATTTTTTCATTTATCTTTAGGTAGAGTAGAGGGGAGGGAGACAGAGAGAGAGAATGAGAGTGAGAGAGTGAGAGAGTGAGAAACATCGATGTGAGAGGGAGACATCGACTGGCTGCCTACCGCACCACCCGACCAGCGCTGGGGATGAACCGCAACCGAGGTACGTGCCCTTGGCTGGAATCAAACCCCCAACTCTTTGGTCCACGGGCCGAAGCTCTAATCACTGAGCAAAACTGGCCAGGGTGATCAATTTGTTGTTGTTGTTGTTATTTGTTTGTTTGTTTGTTTTGGTTATTCTTCAGCCGAGGATATTTTTCCATTGATTTCTAGGTGGGAGGGAGGGAGGAAGAGAGAGAGAGAGAGAGACTTTGATGTGAGAGAGACACATGGACCGCTTGCCTCCTACACGACCCTAACTAGGCCCAGGGAACAAACCTACAACCAAGGTACGTGCCCTTGACCAGGAATCACACCTGAGACCCTTCGGTCCTCGGTCAGATGCTCTAACCACTGAGCAAAACCGGCCAGGACTGATCAGTTATTTTTTAACAAATTTCTCTACTGAATGGTTAACTGAAAATAGTTTTCAAATGTAATTATATTTACAGTGCTGGATGCATTTAGCCCATAATTTTTACTTTATTGGCAGATTTTACTTTAATTGTGTTTTAGTTGCAAAGCTACTTCACTACTCAGTTGTGCAACTGAACTCTAACCCTGCTTTTACAATTAAATAGTGCAAGGTTCCTGAAATTGATTTTGAGTTTTGTTTCCAGTTGACCTTCAAATAGAGAATAACATGTCTGTCAGCTAATAGTGATTTCTGTGTAGCAATTTCCCTGTCCCAGCCCCACTGCACTTTAATGACAAAGGAGATGAATTGGAATTACACTATAGAATTTCTTACTCTGTTTTTTTACCCCTTCTGTTTTTTCTTTCAGTTTGTGTTGATTGTCAGCTGATTACGTTCCTTGAGAGAGAAAGGAAGGGAAAGTGAATAGTACTAAACAGTATTTCTTTCCTTTTTTTTTTATCCTCACCCGAGGACATTTTTCGATATTTTGTTCAGATGGAGTGGGAAGGAGGGAGAGAGAGAGAGAAACATTGACGTAAAAGGGACACATTAAGTGTTTGCCACTCACATGACCCAACCAGGGTCAGGGACAAACTGCAACCGAGGTTCGTGCCCTTAGTGGGAACCGAACCCGGGTCTCTCTGGACCTCAGGCCAGTGCTCTAACCGCTGAGCCAGACTGGCCAGGGCCTAAATAGTATTTCTTCATCTCCCAAAATAATTTTTAAGGAACTGAAAAATAGCATTAATTCGTTGCCTACTGTGTATCAGAGTGTGTGAAGCATTTTATTTTGATCAGCCTCTGAGGTAGATACTACTATTCTTATTTTCTACAGGGCAGCCTTCTCTGTGTCTTTCCTAGAAACCTCCTACAATGTGCCTATGTAGTTCCCGATACTTCTTCTCTCATTGCATTGATCATAGTTATTCTAATCATTTACTGACTCTTTTCCTTACTCAACTGCTAGTACCTGGCAGACCAGAAACTATTTGTCTTGGTCACCACTGTATCTCTAATTCAGTGCCTGGCACATGGTTGACATTTAACAAGTAGTTGTTGAATCAATTTGTTAAATTGAAGAGTCTTGGTTTTATAGGTGGGAAAATTGAAGTTGATACTGAGACATTTTTCCAATCATTAAACTACCAAGTGACAGAGGAGACTCCAAAACCTGTGATTTCATCTTATACCACAGTGCCTCTGTGAATGTATTCCTCTGGGCCTGGGTTACTTCTTCCATAAAAATTGGGTGATTGCACTGAGGCCCTTGCTTCCCCTCAATTTACGACTTTTTACAAGGATGCCAGGGCTGCCTTTGTTTGTGCTTTGGTGTATTTTCAGGCTATAGACTATATAGGTATTGTAGTAGAATTGAGCCATTGGACCAAATCTTGAGGCTCTTTTGGGAATTTTCAGTGACCCTTTAGAAATATGTTAAATAATATAGTGACTCTGGTTTTGTTAGCAAAATGTGAACAAACTGTTTTAGGAGTAAAGAAAAAAGAATCTATATAGTTGGGTATAGAAGTAATCTGAGGTTGAGGCAAACGGTAATACTCAAGATAATTTTTAGGCCTTTTGCATTACTGAAGACTTTTTTTTAAAGCCTCTCTTTTAAGTAGCTTATTTAAATTTAATTATGTTGCCAAGACCAATGCTTTTAAAAGAAAAGGCACAATTGTGCTTATTCATCATTAGATTGTAATGTAATGTATGAATGCTTTGTAATTTTCAAAACGTTAGTAAAAAATATTTGAACTTTTAAAATTTGTTTATATCTGCTTAAATTCCTATGAACTGACTATTGTGAGTTAGTAAGCTATAAGGAAGAGAAGTAAAAGTAATAATTTGGTAGCATATTCCTCTTTTTATGCTAGAAAAGATGAGAAAGTTTAGCCCAAGAGTTAAAGAGCCTGAATAATAAAGAGACCTCAGCTCCTCGGGTTTTCCTTCTGTATCTCGTCTCGGTACTGGCTACTCCATTCCAGGCCTGGGTGCCTGCCCCAGGCCTGCCTCCTGCAGTGCAACAACCTGAAAAGACACATTAGTTTCACTTTAGATTAGTTTTCAAATTTCATGGCTCAGCAGTGGCAAGCTGAGAATTTTTTTTTTTCATTCTCACCTGAGGACATTTTTCCATTTTTGTTCAGATAGAGTGAGAGGGAGGGAGAGAGACAGAAACATGGATGTGAGAGAGAGACATCAACTGGTTGCCTCCTGCATGACCCCTACCAGGACAGGGAACAAACTGCAACCTAGGTACGTGCCCTAGGCCAGAATCAAACCCTTGACTCATTGGTCTGCAGGCCAACGCTCTAACCGTTGAGCCATACCAGTCAGGGCTGCTTTATAATCTTTGAAGTAAATTTTTTCTCCTCAGTTCACCTAGGACAAGGATCATGCTAGTAAATGAATAGTTCTAATTTGTAGTAGAGAATAAGACCCCTTACTCATATTACTTATTTTTATTTCGTGTAGACTTCAGAAGCACATCAACTTTAACTGATTTAGCATCAAAATTTTATTTGAAATATTTTTAAAATGTATTTGTATGAACATAATGCACTTTTTCTTGATGATTCAAGGTCATTCTTAGGGATTTCAGGTACTGTTCTCTGGTGATGCCCTCATGGCATGCTGAATTTTGTAGGACTGTTTTCCTATTCATTATGGTTCAGTTAATAAACGTTAAGTGAGTCCCCACTTCCTGGCTTCTTATATGCAAAGGCGATATCGGAATGAACAAGAAGATGGCCAACATAGCTCAGCTGGAGAATGTTAGATTAAAGGTACAAAGGTCGTTGGCTTGATCCAGAGTGTCAGGGGCTTTCACTTAAAAAAAAAAAAGAAAAATAATGAAACACATACCTATAATGAGGAGTATGGTTGTGGGACAGAAATGTAACATTTCTTTACTGTAATATGGTCAATACTAGACCAGAAAATAAATTGAGGAGGAGGTCAGGCCAAGTTAAAGCGAGAAGGTGAACTATAAGGCGGCCAGATCATCCCATGAAGTGCACAGACGTGCTCGGGTCGGCCTACGTGGAATGTCCCTGGAACAGCAGCCATTTCCGTTGGGCTTAGAGCATCTGGAAATAGGAGTCAGGAGATTGAGGTTGGGGCCAGGTTGTGAAGGGAACTCTATGTGGCTTCAGGAGTTTGGACTATTCATTTACTATTCTTTCATAAACTTTAAGTCAGGAGACTGATATGGTTAGATGTGTTTTATAAATTTTGGCAGCATTGTGGGAAATGTTTAAGAATTGTGTTTCTGGCCTGGCCGATTTGGCTCAGCAGTTAGAGTGTTGGCCCGCAGATCAAAGAGTCGCAGGTTCGATTCCAGTCAAGGGCATGTACCTTGGTTGTGGTTCGGTCCCCGGCCCAGGTGAGGGTTGTGCAGAGGCCAACCAATCAATGTGTTTTTCTCACATCGATGTTTCTCTATCTTTCTCTCTCCTACTGTGTCTGAAAATAAATTGAAAAATATCCTCAGGTGAGGATTTAAAAAATAAAAATAAAAAATAAAAAAATAAAAGTGCTCCTTTCCCAATTAAAAAAAAGAATAGTGTTTCTGAAACTTGGATCATTCACATTCTGTCTTTGCTTCTTTGCCATAGTTGGGCATGCTCTAGGGATGATGAAATAATCAGTAGGAAGAAGAAGGCATAATTGATGGGTTGAATTTCTTACACATTTAATGGCCATAGTCTCTGAGTATCTGTGACTGCTTTTATAGTTTTAATCCTTCCTGGTTAACAGATTGTCGTTTCACATTGGTAATAATCTTGCCGAAGCAAACTCTTTCCCTAACTTCCCTTCCAATATAGCTAGCTGAAAAATCCAAATAAATAAGCCCGTGTTCTGCCCTTCAGTGAGTTGGCCTGGAGACCTCTATTTTGATCCTTAGAAGACTTTTTTTCTGGTTTGGTCTTATTCTAGATCTTTATAACTGAGCCATCCAATAACTCCATATAAGTGAAATATCACTGTAATTTGTTTAAAAGATCATAATCATTTAAAAACATTTTTAAATTTATTTTAATGTAGGTGATTGGAGTTGTGCTTCAAAAATTTCAGCAGTTCAACAGTATTTTATCTGCCAACAAAAAGCTCTTTACTTGATTGCACCATGAAAAAGCTGCTAATGAGACTTGAGCATAAAAACGGACCTGAAGAACCAAAAGCCATTGTTTTCAAATGAAGAATACAGAACAGTTTTAAGCCTCAATGCTTTGTAATCACCACTAAGATTTTCTCCATAACATCAGAATGGCAAGCAGGCGAAAATCAACAACACCCTGCATGGTCCTTGCCAGTGAACAGGATCCAGACCTCGAGTTGATATCAGATTTGGATGATGGACCTCCTGTACTCACGCCTGTAGAAAACACCGGAGCAGAGAGCATCTCAAGTGATGAAGAAGTTCATGAATCTGTGGATTCTGACAATCAGCAAAATAAAAAAGTTGAAGGTGGCTATGAATGTAAATATTGTACTTTTCAAACTCCAGACCTAAATATGTTTACTTTTCATGTGGATTCAGAACATCCCAATGTAGTGCTAAATTCCTCCTATGTTTGTGTCGAATGTAATTTTCTTACCAAAAGGTATGATGCACTTTCGGAGCATAATCTGAAGTACCACCCAGGAGAAGAGAATTTTAAGTTGACTATGGTGAAACGAAATAACCAGACAATCTTTGAACAAACCATAAACGATCTGACTTTTGATGGTACTTTTGTTAAAGAGGAGAACTCAGAGCCAGCTGAATCTACAGAAGTTTCCTCTTCGGGAATACCTATCAGTAAAACTCCCATCATGAAAATGATGAAAAATAAAGTGGAGAACAAACGGATTACAGTCCATCATAACTCAGTAGAAGATGTTCCTGAAGAGAAAGAGAAGGAAGTCAAACCAGATCATGAAGAAAGTGTGGAAAGTCCAAGTTCTTCGGCTTCTGAGTCTAATACCAGTACTTCCGTTGTCAACAGAATGCACCCGAGCACTGCGAGCACGGTCGTGACCCCAGCAGCAGTTCTTCCCGGATTAGCACAGGTGATAACTGCCGTGTCAGCTCAGCAGAATTCCCATTTGATTCCCAAAGTCTTAATCCCTGTTAATAGCATTCCTACCTACAATGCCGCATTGGATAACAACCCCCTTTTGCTTAACACCTACAACAAATTCCCTTATCCAACGATGTCAGAAATTACTGTTCTTTCTGCTCAAGCAAAATACACAGAGGAACAGATCAAGATATGGTTTTCAGCCCAACGTCTAAAACATGGTGTGAGCTGGACTCCTGAGGAAGTAGAAGAGGCAAGAAGAAAGCAATTCAATGGAACAGTACACACTGTGCCTCAGACCATAACTGTTATTCCGACACACATTTCCACAGGGAGTAATGGCTTACCATCCATTTTACAGACATGCCAAATAGTCGGTCAGCCAGGCCTGGTCCTGACACAAGTAGCTGGAACAAATACCTTGCCGGTAACAGCACCAATAGCCTTGACAGTGGCAGGGGTGCCAAGTCAAAGCACTGTACAGAAAAGTCAGGCCCCCGCTGCCCAGCCTACTGCAGAAACAAAGCCAGCAACAGCAGCAGTCCCAACTTCTCAGCTTGTCAAACATGAAACCACATTGGCGAACCCTGATTCATTTGGCATTCGGGCAAAAAAGACTAAAGAACAACTGGCAGAATTAAAAGTCAGCTACCTTAAAAATCAGTTTCCCAATGACTCAGAAATTATCAGACTTATGAAAATCACAGGCCTGACAAAAGGAGAGATTAAAAAATGGTTTAGCGACACAAGGTACAACCAGAGAAATTCAAAGAGTAATCAGTGCTTACATCTCAACAATGATTCGTCCACCACCATTATTATAGACTCCAGTGATGAAACCACGGAATCCCCCACTGCTGTTACTTCGCAGCACAAACAATCCTGGAACCCTTTCCCCGACTTTACTCCCCAAAAGTTTAAAGAGAAGACAGCAGAGCAGCTTCGGGCCCTTCAGGCAAGTTTTCTCAACAGCTCCGTACTGACAGATGAAGAATTAAATAGGTTAAGAGCGCAAACCAAACTGACCAGGAGGGAAATTGATGCTTGGTTTACAGAGAAGAAGAAATCGAAAGCTTTAAAGGAAGAGAAAATGGAAGTAGATGAAACGAATGCAGGCAGTTCCAAAGAAGAAGCGGGAGAAAGTTCTCCTGGAGATGAATCTGGTGCACCTAAGTCAGGGAATACAGGCAAGATATGTAAAAAAACACCGGAGCAGTTGCACATGCTCAAAAGTGCATTTGTCCGAACACAGTGGCCGTCACCAGAAGAGTATGACAAGTTGGCCAAAGAAAGTGGGCTTGCTAGAACAGACATAGTTAGTTGGTTTGGGGATACCCGTTATGCTTGGAAAAATGGAAACTTAAAATGGTACTACTACTATCAAAGCGCCAATTCAAGTAGTATGAATGGTCTGTCTTCCCTTAGGAGAAGGGGAAGAGGGAGACCCAAAGGAAGGGGAAGAGGAAGGCCTCGTGGGCGGCCTAGAGGAGGCAAGAGAATGAACAACTGGGACAGGGGCCCATCACTCATAAAATTTAAAACTGGAACTGCAATACTTAAGGATTATTACCTGAAGCACAAGTTTCTTAATGAACAAGACCTTGATGAACTTGTTAACAAATCACATATGGGCTATGAACAGGTCAGAGAGTGGTTTGCCGAAAGACAGAGAAGATCGGAGTTAGGTATAGAATTATTTGAGGAAAATGATGAGGAAGATGAAGTTATTGATGATCAGGAAGAGGATGAAGAAGAAACAGATGACAGTGACACTTGGGAACCCCCACAACATGTGAAGCGGAAGCTTTCTAAGTCAGATGACTGAAATGTAAGTTTTTAATCTGAGTGTATATTCATCAATCACCCACATTTTGAACAGCCACCTGATATCTGTCATCTCCACTTTTGATAGTATTTTTCTTAAACAGTTTTTCTTTTTCCTAACAAGAGAACTAGGTGCTACAAGTATAGCCAGGAAGTATGATTATCATGTATAATCCAGTTATGATTATTCTGTGTCTTATGTAGAGTTTAATGTTGCTTTAATTTTTTTTTTTTTTTTAATGAAATTATTTTTACTTTGTTTTAAGGGAAAATCTCCCATTCTCTAAGACGGGAGACTGGTGGGTGGGGGGATTCACAAATACTAAGGTAACAAAAATGTATTTTTTTGCAACCCTTCACTAAAGCTTCATTTTTTGCCTATTTAAGGAAAGAATTAAAAAACGAAAACTGAAAAGAAGGGGGAAATTATTCCGAAGGAAAGACTTGCCACAGGGGTGAGGATTGCTGAGTTTTAGGAAACTAGGTGAAAATGGGTATCCTTTTTCATTCATTGCATTGCCTCCAAAACTATTAGGTTTTTAACTAGAGTTTAAAATGTTTTATGTATTAAAATTACTCAATATTTTTTTCTATTAAAAGCCAAAGGTCTGTTTTAGGCCATATATAAATTCTATATTTACTTAGGTGGCATCTGTTTTTGAAAACTATAATAAAAATTATTTCTGTTTTAGAGATCAAAAGGTAAACAACATATTTGATATTAAATTAACTCAATGGCCAAAAATGTTTTTTCATTCTTTGACATAAAACAAACCTAACAGCAGAAACACTGTATTTGGTTAAAAATATCTCTCTGTAGTTATAAAAGTACAAGTAAATACACTTTAAATGTAAATGTTTGGCATATTCCTTAAATCTTCATTCTTTTATAGGTTGGATTAATTAAAATTTGACTGTAGTTGCAAATCAGATACCTGATTTGGAGTTAGGACTTAAATTCTTAATACTTACGGAATTCAGTAGCATAGTTCTGTTCTTTACTCTCGGTTTTTGAGTGTTCCAGGATAAAACGATATTCTTAGAAAACAATGCAGTTGTCATGAAATGTTTGTATATGTCTACAGTAGTCCCAAATTACTGCAGTGTTGTCAAACTGTACAGGAGGAAGCAAAGCACAGACCCTCGTGATCATATGAGCATGTTTACATATTTCCTTAGCTTTTTGCATCCCTATCCCATCCTCTACTTTTATGCTTTGTTATTTTGCACAGTATCTCCTTATTTCCCCCACATCTTCCTCCCTGGTTTTATTTATTTTATTATAACAATTACTTATAGAGTGTTTAGTACCAGACACTATTCTTGCTGCTTAGCAATCCTTTTCCAAGCCTTTTTTTCATTAACTTTTTTTTTCAGGCAGAAAAAAAGATGAACCTTTTAAAAATGCACCTACTTTTGAATAAATCTCATTCAGGTTATAGAACAAAATGGATTGTTAAGTGACAAGAAGTTAAACAGCTTTAAGGTACAGCTTTACCAAAAGGCAGTCCTCCATTTTCTAATGTCAGAAATCTTCAGGACAGGCTTTCTTCTGACCCAGATGCATAAAATATTTTTAACAGGCATTTTTTTTTTATTGCTAGACACAAGAATGTGTACTTAGCCAAGATTAAATCAACAAAATTTTTGCTGCAATGAATTGTTGTTTTAGTAACCTCTGCAGTGATTTTGTAGGGAATTGCAGTCTTCTAAAACTAATGTGAACTTTTTTTATAATTTAATTTGACCTTACTTTAAGTTTGTGTGGATAATTCTTATGTTATATATTAATACTGTCATAGGTACTATGGTTAAAAAATTTCACACAAAGCCACAGTTTTCAAAAATTGTGTCATATATATTATATGTGTACTTTTGTGGTACATATACACACTTGCCTTGCTTTTAAAATATGCAAAAGTCTAAAATTATGAATGACATTAATTAGCAAGTCATTGGCTTAACAAAATAATTTTTATCTTACAAAAGGATTCACCAGAAGTTTCCTCTAAATACTTTTTCATTTAAATATGGTTCAACTTACAAAAAAAAAAGTAACCAAAACCTTTCCAAAATAGTTAGTGCAAAAAGTGAGATACAGTAGTCCCCCCTTATCCTCAGGGGATATGCTCCAAGACCCTCAATGGATGTCTGAAACCGCAGATAGTACCAAGCCCTATATAAATTGCTTTTTTTCCCCCTACATATACATACCTATGATAAAGTTTGACTTATAAATTATGCACAGTAAGAGATTAACAATAATAACTAATAAAATAGAAAAATTATAAATATACTATAATAAAAGTTATATGAATGTGGTCTCTCTGTCTGTCTCTCTCTCATATAACTGATCAGCTAACCCAGAGGGCTACAAAGTGGCAAACTGGCAGATAGGTACACAGTATGGATCTGCTGGGCGGGACAGAGGGTGATGATGTGAAATTTCATCGGGCTGTTGAAAATAGCATGCAATTTAAAAGATATGAATTGTTTATTTCTGGAATTTTCCATTTAATATTTTTGGACTGTGGTGGACCACAAGTAACTGAAACCACAGAAAGCAAAACCATGAATAAGGAGGGTTACTGTACATGTGTGTCTTTTGCAAAAGCCAGCCTTATACAGTAAATCCTCACTTAATGTCAATCAGTTCTGTGACTTTAATTGAAGTGATGTATAAGGAAACCTATTTTACCACAGACTGATTGATATGAACAAGAATTAAGTTCCTGCAGCATCTTATCAATGTTATAACAAAATGGACGATGTTGAACAAATCAATGATATTTGAGGGCCTGATATGTATAAATAGAAAAAAATACAAGAGTTTAGATTTCATAGTTTATTACAAATACAAATGATGGAATATATACTTCCCACTAATAATTTTTAAATAAATTATTGCATATAAGTATATGTAATATAGATAAAAATTATTACATATAGGTAAAAATGTCTGTAAGCAAATCTGGTATATGCAGAACATGTACAAAGGAGTTGTACACACAATCTAGTGCATTATATGAGATATATGTGGCAAGTGATCTCAGTATTACAGAGTAAATACAAAGGATGTGTCTTCATAGCTAATTTATATCATTTTTGCTTCTAAAAGTGGTAACCATTAAAATGTGCTTTCCTTTAAATTTTTAGTTTTTTATTATGTTTTTCTTTTATAGCTGCCTAAAACATTGGAGGAGAATCAATTCTTCAACTCAAGCTGTCTGATTTACTGTGAATGGGCCCACAATCTTTAATGACACTGAAAACCTTTGGGAGCATAAACATTCTCAGAAAATAGGATCCAGTACCCAAAAGAAATGGAGCTTAATGTTGTGCCAAAGTTAAACTACTGCAGCTGGTGAAAGTTCTGCAATGTAAATAGAACACTAATTAAAAAAAACTTGTAAAAATTCAAATTTTAATACATTTTTATTCTGATATGATGGAGACATTCTGATTCTTAGACTTTCTGAGGGGGTTTAATGACCACTAGAGCTTGTCCTCATATTTTGTCCAGCGTAATACTGTATGTCTAGTGAGATGGGCCTTATTGTCTGTATTCTTTGACATGTTATTAAACTTATAACTTTGAGTGACCAAATATTTCCCAGAATAAAAATTGTTAGAAACAGGCAAAAGAAAAACCTGATTTATTTCTGTGTCTTATTTATCAGGCCCTGCATGAAGATTAAAAGTTATGCATGGGCTTATACATTTTCAATGTAAGTGAAAATACAGCCTTTTGACATATGTTGGAACAATGAGATTTTGTGGTATCATTGGTCCTTAATGATTGGATCTTTCATGGACACCACTGTTAATACTTGTAATGCTTTTGTTACTTTTTTTCATTCGAAGCTGAATTTGCTTTTTATTAAACTGAAGATATCAACACTGAAGAAGGAAAAGAACCTGGTATAAGAATTTGGATAGGGTGAAACTGAAATAAATTCTGTACCAATCATATGGAAATCAGAAATGTTCGTACAGGTACCAGATCAGAATTTTCAAGAATTAAAATGGAATTTCTGTCAGTGAAATTCCACTTGTATCAATTTCAGTGACTAGAGAAAAAGTTCTGAACTGATCACGAATTAAATGTTAGCTTTTCAGGAGTCCGAAAGTTCCTACTAACTTATATAAACTTTGTAAAGACCGGTGCTGTTCATTCATGTTGAGAAGGACCCTTTCCTTTGTGACTATAGGACCATTTTTCAAAGTGTGCTTTCTTCATAGAAGAAATGTTCAGTTCAATTAGCTTTGTATTTTATTTTATTTATTTTTAATTTTTTTTAATTCCTCACCTGAGGACATGCTTAGAGAGAGAAAGGGGGGTGGCAGAGAGAGAGAGAGAAACATTGATGTGAGAGAGAAACATGGACCAGTTGCCTTCTGTAGGGTATGTGCCCTGACCGGGAATCAAACTGGCAACCTTTCAGTGCACAGGACAATGCTCAACCAACTAAGCTACTCTGGCCAGGCTCAATTAGCTTTGTATTTTAAAATGTTGTTTTTGTTTTGTTTTGTTTTTCTGAATGACCAGATGTAGTGGGTTTGGCCAGTTTAATCTAATTTAATGAATAATAAATATTAAGCTCTTGTTTTTACCTAAATGTTTGTTGGCTAATGAAAATGTTATGAAAAAGCCTTGAATATGCATGCTGCTTTCATTTTTATAAACTTTTCATTTTTTAACTATAGCTTTATTAGTAATTCCAAAATGCTGCAGTTTAGCTGATTTCTTCACTCAGACAGCTGGCTTTGTGGGTGGCTTTTTCATACTACTGTTAACTTTTTTTAAAAGAAGCAATGTAAAGACTGTAACAATTTAATGCACTAAACTGTTATTTCTTTTACACATTTAAAAACTTCTTAAAGCACTCTGTATTATAATAATTAAATTGCTCCCTTTTTTTAACCATTGCTAATGTGGTCTGAGTTTTGCTTGGCAATAATTTTCATGTTTTCAAAATTTGAAATGTCAAGTATTGGACAAGTATGAAGCCTTGGAATATATTTATATTATTATTATGTTTCCCTTACAGTATGTTAACTTTGAATAGCTGTAAATAACTATTAGTAATGTTCCCTCCTGTCTCTTTTATAGACTTGGCACTTAATTCTGCTCTGATGTTTGCTAGCTTTTCAATATATTTATTTGACAGAGCAAAAGAACCCTCTCCCGGTTGTGTCCTTGAATACAAAATAAAAGTTAGCTGTGATTAGTAGTTTTCAGTGATTTTGTTCCCATTTTATTGAGTTTTTTTTAATGTAGTAAAATATACATAACAAAATTTATTACATCTGTTTATAAGTGTACAATTCAATTGCGTTAATTATATTCACAATGTTGGGCAACCATCACCACCACTTCCCAAACTTTTTCATCACTCCAAACAGAAACTCTGTAACAATTAAGCAATAACTCTTGGTTACCCCTCCCCCAGCCCCTGACAATTTTTAATCTATTTTTTCTATAAATCTGCCTATTCTTGATATTTCAAATAAGTGGAATCATACAATACTTGTCCTTTTGTGTCTGGTTTATTTTATTTAGCATAATGTTTTTATGGTTCATTCATGTAGTATGTATCAGAATTTCATTCCTTTTTAAAGCTGAATAATAATCCTGTGTGTGTGTGCACACACACATGTACATTTTGCTTATTTGTGATGAATGGACCTTGGGTTATTTCTACATTTTGGCTAGAAAAAATGCCGCAATAACATAGCATACACTTACCTGATGGAGTTCCTATATTCAGTTATTTTGTGTATATATTTAGGAGTGGAATTGCTGAGTTATATCATAATTCAATGTTTAAATTTTGAAAAACCATCAAACTCATGCATAGTCTCCTCCATTATTAATGTCCACCACCAGAGTCGTGGTACATGTGTTACAACTGATGAGCCTATATTGACACATCATTATCACCCAAAGTCCATAGTTTACATTAGGGTTCACTCTTGGTGGTGTACATTCTATGGGTTTGGAAAAATGCATAATGACATGTATCCACTGTTACAACATCATACAGAATAGTTTCATTGCCTGAAAAATCCTCTGTGCGCCCCCTATTCATCTTTCTCTTCCCCCACTCTTTCACTTAGTAACATTCATTTAAGGTTCCTCCATATCTTCTCATGGCTTAATAACTCATTTCTTTTTTTCCCCCTTTATTGATTTTTAGAGAGAAAGTGAGAAGGAGAGAGAGAAATAGAAACATCAATGAGAGACAACATCAACTGACCGCCTCCTGCATGTCCCCCACAGGGGATCGGCCCACAACCTGGGCATGTGCCCTGACCGGAAATTGAACCGGTGACCTTTTGGTCCATGGGCTGACGCTCTAACTGCTGAGCCAAACTGGCCAGGGCAATAGCTCCTTTCTTTTTGCTCAATTCCTCTACACACTCACTCCCCCCACCCCCCACTCCACCATAGCTCATTTTAGTGCTAAATAATATTCTGTTGTTTGGATGTACCAGTTTATCTACCCACCTACTGAAGGACATCTTGGTTGCTTCCAGGTTTTGGCAATTATGAATAAAGCTGCTATAACATGTGCAGGTTTTTGTGTGGATATAAAGTTTTAAATTCTTTGGGTAAATACCAAGGAGCATGATTGCTGGATCACATGGTAAAAGTATGTTTAGTTTGTTATAATAGTTTTTTACTCCCACCAGCAATAAATGAGAGTTCCTGTTCCACATTCTTGTCAGCACTTGGTGTTGTCAATGTTCTGAATTTGGGCCATTCTAATAGGTGTGCAGTGGTATCTCACTGTTTTAATTTGCATTTCCTTGATGATGTATGATGCTGAGCATCTTTTCATGTGCTTATTTGTCATGTGTATATCTTCTTTGGTGAGGGATCTGTTAACGTATTTGGCCCATTTTTTAAAATCAGGTTTTTGTTTTCTTTTTTTTATCCTCACCCGAGGATATTTTTCCATTTTTTGTACAGATAGAGTGGGAGGGAGAGAGAGGAAAGGAGAGAGAGTGAGAAACATCGACGTGAAGGGACACATCGAGTGGCTGCTACCCGTACGACCAACCAGGGCCGGGGACAAACCGCAACCGAAGTATGTGCCCTTAGCGGGAACCGAACCCGGGTCTCTCCGGACCGCAGGCCGACGCTCTAACCGCTGAGCCAAACTGGCCAGGGCCAGGTTTTTGTTTTCTTATTGTTGAGTTTTAAGAGTTCCTTATACCAAATGTGCCTTTTGCAAATATTTTCACCTGCTGTGGCTTGTCTTCTCACCCTTTTGAAACCGTCTTTCGAAGAGTAGAAGTTTTTGACTTTAATGAAGTCCAGTTTGTCAATTATTTCTTTCAGGAATCATGCCTTCGGTATTGTTCCTAAAAAGTCATTTCCATACCCAAGGTTATCTAGGTTTTCTCCTGTGTTATTTTATGAGTATTATAGTTTTCCATTTACACTTAGATCTATAATCTATTTTAAAATAGAGTTAATTTTTGTGAATGGTGTAAGGTCATTTTTTTGCATGTAGATGTCCGGTTGTTAAGACTTTGTTGAAAAGATTTTCCTTAAATTCAAAGTACCTTACTGGAATTAAGGTCTCTTTTTTTCTAGACTTCCTTTGTACTTTATATTTCTCTTAAGGGGCTTATTACTTTCCATTAATTGCTTTTTACACAGGAGGTACACAGTTGCTTTGATTGAAGTAATAATGAATTTTATTCCTTTAGTCTGACTTGTCCTTATTCCGATGTCACCATCACAGTTGTTGCCTCCCATGGAGGCCTCCCTCATCTCTCCCTGAACTAGTCACTACTAACTGCTCCCCCCATGTCTACCCAGCAGGTCTTGGTTTATACTTTATTCAGTACCTGTCAAATTGGCTTTGTAAGCACATCTATTTCACTAGATTAGAGCACTTTCAAGGCAGAAATTTAGTCTTTTTTAAGCTAGCATTCACTGAACACTTACCATGTGCAAGCACTAGGTAGAGGGTTACATGATTTATCTCAGTCCTCATGGACAGTCCATGAGGTAGATGCTATTATTATCCCCATTGTATAGCTGATGAAACTGAGGGTCACAAAGGTTCAGATTCATACACAGAGTACGTGTTGGAGGTGTCAAGCCTGAACCACTTCCAGAGCTCTCACCCTTAACTATTGCCTAGCCAGTATCTTCACAAAATTGTTACTCAGTAAATGTTCATTAAACTGAACTAGAGATTGCAAGTTTAGGAGCCAGGAGAGAAGAAAGCAATGCCAGGCTGATTGTGCACATAGCTGGTGTTGGCAGACAGTGTTTGTCTTTGGGACAACAACCTGTGATACTGGAATGAAATGGACTGAGCAAACCCTGAGAAAATTTTGTTTGGCTCAAGACTTGCTGGCCTGAATAAAGGGGCATTAAATTGAAATTTGTAGTGGGAATGGAATGGGGGAGGGGTACACAGGCCAAAACTCAGCTACATAGATCATATGACAGCCAAAAGAGTGACATGAATTTAACCTGACATGATGGGCACCATGCACAGTCAATACAAGAAAGTACAGCCCAGATACTAGGAAGATACACACTTGGAGTTTGGACCATTAGATTATTCATTCAATAAATGTGTACTGAGCGCACAATATACTCTGCCTGGCTACTGGCTCTGCTGCCTCAGGCCATGCAGCTAGCTCTCCCTCTCCCTCGCTGGACCTCAGCACCACGGCTTGCTCCTTGTTCTTGCAGCTTTTCAGATATTCTTGCTTCCACCTGCAAAGCTACCTCCAGATGTCTTCTTGGCCAGCTACTTCTCTTCACTCCAGGCTCAGCTCAATGGTCACCTCTTCAGAGGTACCTTCTTTGGCCACCCTACTTGAAGTAGTCTCTTTCTCATTCACCACTCTTCCAATTTTATTTGTAGCACTTACCACAGTCTATAACTACTTTGTTCTTTTATTTGTTTGTTATTTTCTCACTAGAACTTAAGTTCCAGGAGAGAAAGGATCTTGTCTTACTTATTTATCACTGTATTCTGAGGATACAGTCCTTGGCTTATAGCAAGTCTCAATAAATTTTAGTTGAATCAATGAATGTGCCTACTATAAAAATTTACAGACTATGGGAAATTAATAAATGAGGGAACTCAATATATGTTAAGTTAATAAATACCCAGGAAAATTAGTGAGATGTGATTCATGCCAGTAATGAAAGGGTATGCTTTGCTCAAAAGAAACAGAAAAGATGGAAAAGGAGAAAAAGCAATGTTTACAAATATCTGAGGAAGCAGGGAAAGGGGGAAAAGGGGTTCAGTGGAAAACTGCCTGGGTAAGAAAGGAGAGGAAGAGCTGTGATTTCATTCTGGAGGATGTTTTACAGGCTGCTAAGCCCCATTATTCTCTGTCTTAGCACTTTGCCACAACCTGTAATTAAATAATTTGCTTGCTCACATGCTTATCATATGTCTTCTCCAACTTAATTTCTTCTCCAACTTAATTTCGGCTCATTCAGAGTAAGGACCATGAGTGGTAGATATATCTTTAGCACCTGGCACAGAATACATCGGGTTATACACAGAATGCATAAATGAATAATACTGTGTGCCAAGCATTGCCCTAGAGAAACACAGGATATAGACGGGAGAGGATTCACATGCAGTGTAATGATTAACCCATTCAACAAATGTGGAGTGAAGGCCTACTGGGTGCCAGACACTGTGCTCAGCGCTAGTGCTAGATGGAGAGATGTCCCTGCCTAGAGCGAGGTCACGGTCTCTTGGGGTTAACGGACAAGGAAGCCCCGGAGAGCTGTAGGAAATGAGAACTGCCCCATCAGAGAGAAGCACGTGGTGCTATGTGAACCCAGACAAGGGCCATGGAACCCAGACCTGGGAATTAGGAAAGCCTTCTAAAGAGCACTGGGAGGGGCCCTCTTGACCAAAGAAATGGTGAGGTAGTACCTGGTAAGTGCAGGGAATGCTGCAAGAGGCCAGTTCCAGAGAGGACCAGCGTGGCTGGAGAGTGCTAATTCAGTTAGGGGAATGGGGTGGTGTATTAGGTTCCTCTAGGGTAACTGTGTGGAATAGAAAATTGTGTTGAAGAAAGAATCCTGGAAGACAAATGGTGGAAGAGGAACTGGTGAGATGAGGACCAAGAGGAGGAAAAGTGAGAAAAGCTCTGTGTCTATTACCTGCTGTGCAATACGACACAGTAATACCGTGCTGGGCAATACTGGTTGGTCCTTTGTCAACACTCTCCGCTTCCTAGTCTCAAGGAACATCTTGAAAGTATAAGAATGCTCGTAGATATTAGTCTTAGAATTCTGGTGTTTTCTCCAGGCAGAATTAATGCTCCCTGATGGAGCCCTTAAAGTAAATCTCTGTCCTCTGTTTTATAAATGCGTGAATTACTCTAGTCCTCTTCTCAGGAGACTGAGGAATACTGCCTCATTTATTTTCCAGCACTTAGCCACGTAATAATTGAGCCTGAGCAAGTTACTTAACCTCTACAAGTTACTTAACCTTCATTTGCAAAATGGGAATCACTGTGCTTTTCATAAGGAAAGGATATAAAGTGCAAAAGAAAGTGCTTAACACAGGGTCAGGAATGTCGTCAGTGGTGAAAACATGGTACCTACCGGTTTTAAACCGCTACCCTGGGGCCAGTGCTTTTTGATGCGAGCATATAAGGAACGCTTTGTCCATCTCCTGAAATAGAGAAGACAAAGTCTGCCCCTGAGTTCGCTCAGTTTGTGAGTCAGATAAAAATCTCAGTTCAACGACAACTCCCAGCCCGCGGCGGGCCAAGCCTCGGTTCGGCGCTTCCAGAGACTACAAATCCCAGGGTGCCGCGCGCTGGGCCTGGGAAGCCCCGCCCCTCCGCGTTGGCACGCACGTGGGCGGTGCTCCAGGCACCGCCTCCTCTCGCGGTCCCCGCCGCAGGCGCGCGATGGAGAGCGAGTGCTGGGTGCTCGGCGGCGAGTTCGAGGATTCGGTGTTCGAAGAGAGGCCGGAGCGGCGCCCGGGGCCGCCGGCGTCCTACCGCGCCAAGCTCTGCGAGCCGCAGGTAAGAGGGCGGGGCCTCTTGGCCTCGCCCGGCCCCCGGGCCTCGCCTAGATCCCCGGGCCTCGTCTTCCGCGGGTCCCGGCACGAGTGCCCGCCGCCTCCCCGGGTGGGCCCGGCCCACTCTGGCCCCGAGGGCGCCGGGACACCGCCGCGCTCTTCGCGATTAACTCGCGCTGCCGTTTGGCGGGTCTCGCAGTGGCTCTGTCTCCCCAGCTCCTGCTCTAAGATCGGCAGGAACTCCACGGGCCGTGACCACGGGTTCTGCAGCCAGGCAGCCCGCGCGCCCAGAAATCCGGCCACCGCCCCCTTCTCAAACTTAGTGTTGTCTGCGCCCCACCAGCCTGCCTTGTTCACTGACTTCTCCTGCCCGTGGTAACCTCCCTCTGATGGTCAGATCCTTCCATTGTACCCTTTCTCAAGGCACATCTCAAATGCGGCCTCCTCCAAGAAGTTTTTTCTGATTCCCCTTTCCAACCGAAAAATTTGTCTCTGAACCCTGCACAGGGGAAAATCCATGTATAACTTTGGAGCCCCCACCACAACTTAACTGCTGATAATCTGTTGACCAGAAGCCTTACTAATGACATAAACAGTCGATTAACACGTATTTTGTATGTTATATGTATTATGTAACCTGTATCTTACCAATAAGTGACCTAGAGAAGAGAATGTTAAGAAAAATCGTGAGAGAAAATACTTTTACAGTATTTATTGAAGAAAATCCATGTGTAATTGGACCCACGCAGTTCAATCTTGTGCTGTTGGAGAGAATGGTATTTCATGGGTGTAAATCTCACCTTACCAATAATAACTACTATTTATCAAAAACGTACCTGTTCAGGCACTATGCTGGATTCCTTTACACCTATTGTCTTTTTTTTTTTTTTTTTACAACCACTGTACTTACAGATGTCAGGTGCTCAGTAATTACTGGATTATATTTTTGTTTTATTTCACATACATTTTCTTCTTACCATATTCAATCTTTAAGAAGTCACCTTCAGCACTTGATCATGTAAACTCAAAACAGAATGGGCTTGGGAAGTCATGTTGTACAGCATTAAAAGCCATGGTTCTGAGCTAGGACCCTTGAATTCCAGCCTTGGCTTTATTTACCCCTTGCCTTCCAAGGTGTCTGTTCCTCATTTGTCATTTGGGGAAAATACTATTTGCTGGCTCACAGGGTTACTAGGAGAGTGAAATGAGAGAACACTTTGTCAGGTATTTGATAATAAACACAGGCATTTGATAATACTTTGTGTAACGTATTATATACTTAGTGAAATCCAGAAATTGCTTTTCTGTGGAATTTGTTTAATATATGACACCGCCTATAAATTCAGAGAGGCCTTACTTAAGTCATGCTGGTTTCCCTAAATGGACTGGAGATTTCTGTTGTCCCTGCTGACTCAGGTTCTGTGTGGGGCTAGATGTTTGCCTTCAGCACTTCACCTTCTAGTCCCACCCTTGTTCATGGCTCTTCCTCCTTCCTCTCACCAGAGAGGGGTATTTGAAACCATGCCCGGTCTGAATTCTTGTGGGTGTACAGGTCATATGGGAAAATAAAAATAATCATTTGAAAGCCAATTTTGCTTGATCATTTCCCGGTAGGATAATGGAAAATAGATGGAGGTTTGCAGTTGTGTAGTTATCGTTCAAGAAGTTGGGATTGACTAATAATCTAATACCATGTGTGATTGAGAACAGCAGAGTACAAAGGGAAATTATGGGCTCAGTTTTCAGACTTGTTGAGTCACACAGTACTCTGGGGAGAACAGAACAGTGGTTACTAGCTTTCTCTACTGTGACACCTCAGGCTAAGGAGAGAAACTATTTTATTAAGATAACAGGGGGACCGTAATGCCCTGGAGACTCTTACAGAAATAGAACCAGCAATTTCAAGGTAATGGTAGAACCATCACAAATGCAGCTGCATTTGAATTAATAGCGTTGAACTGGGAATAGGCTTCATTCAGCCTGAATGCATTTTACTGGGAATACCAGGGGATGAGACACTTCTTTGTAGCTGAAAGAACTGGCAATACTATGCTTTCTGTCATCTGAACTTTTTTAAAGAATTGCATTCTGTATTTGTGATATCCATAAATGTTGCTGTTCTATATTTCTGCCCTCATCTGAACATTATTTACTCAGTAATCAAGAAATCTTGCCCTGGTTGGTTATGCTCAGTGGTTAGAGCGTCAGCCTGTGGTCCAGAGAGACCCAGGTTCAATTCCCGCTAAGGGTGCGTACCTCGGTTGCAGTTTGTCCCCGGCCCTGGTTGGGTCATGCAGGTGGCAGCCACTCGATGTGTCCCTTTCTTGTCAATGTTTCTCTCTCTCTCTCCCTCCCATTCTACCTGAACAAAAAATGGAAAGATGTCCTCAGGTGAGGATAAAAAATAAAGATCTCAGCCCCACTTTCTTTTCCTTTTTTTTAATTTGTTAACCCTCATCCAAGGATACTTTTCCATTGATTTGAGATAGGGTGGAAGGGAGGAAGGGAGAGAGAGATGCACATCAATTGGCTGCCTCTTGCACGACCCCAACCAGGGCCAGGGATCAAACCCGCGACGCGTTGGCCCGCGGGTCAGTGCTCTAACAGCTGCGCCAAAGCGGCCAAGGCTCCCACTTTCCTTTCTATCCACAGGGTTCAAATCAGTGGAAAGGTGAATACAATATTCCATATTGCCAATTCCTGAGACTTTTCTCCTATAGGTCTTTGGCGTTTGATTGCACTGAAGCCTCCTTTTAGCTTAATCTCTCTTTGCTTCTACTTGTTGCTTTTACATCATTTTCATATATAGCACTATAATGATCATTCTTTCTATGTACGTTCCTTACAGAGTTGCCAATCTCTATTCCAACGACTCTAAAATTTCTCTGCAAGGAAGCATATCTCAGCAGTGTAAACAACCAGTGGGAACTGTGCTGGTTGAATATGGGTTCCCAGGCACCACAACAGCCCCATATTGAAAATGCTACGGAAAACAGAAGCAGACTCAATACAGAGAACAGGCTGATGGGTGCCGGATCGGAGAGGGGCTGGGTGAAAAAAGTGAAGGGATTAAGAAGTACAAATTGGTAGTTACAGAATAGTCATGTGGATGTAATTACAACATAGGGAATATCGTCAGTAATAGAGTAATAACTATCTATGGTGCCGGGTGGGTACTTGAATTATCCGGAGATCACTCTGTAAATTATGTAATTGTCTAATCACTATGCTGTGTACCTGAATCTAATAGAAAAGAATATTGAATGTCCACTGTAATTGAAAAATAAAATTTTTTTAAATTCAAAGAAAATGCTGTCGATAAAACCATATACTTTTGCATGCCTTTTAAAGTTGAGAGGCATCGTATTAATGGTATGTTTATTAATTATGATAATTTTAATACAAATTGGTCCATCATTTAAATTGTCACTCTTCTGTGCCAGATGTCTTCCTCTGAGTCTAATTCTAAAGACATATGTCTTTTTTGAGGCTTAATCATTTATTTATGGAAAATTGCTTCTGAGTATGAAGCATAGCTTTGTTCTGAGTAATATGCTCTTTTCACAATTTCTAGTGGTTTTATGAGGAAACAGAAGGCAGTGACGATGTCGAAGCTCTAACTCTGCAGAAGTTCCGAGGGGACCTGGCCTACAGACGGCAAGAGTATCAGGTAGAGCTCCACGCGTGTGACATGTGCTGCTTGAATTGGGCTCTTGCTCTATAACTTGCAGCGTGTTTAAATAACAGGCTACTAAGTTGTAAGTTTGTTGTTTGTGAAAATGAATTTACTCTTTTGTGATGTGTTTGTAAACTTAGAACCCCAAGTTTCTGTCCTTTTTTATGAGGCTCTGTATAATTTTATTTCTTGTAACTCCAATGTAGGGATCTTTTGGGGATCCTTGTAAGTCGGACTCCCCAGGCTCCGTATCTCATTATGTGTGAGCCTCCAGCACAGATACCTCCTAGTGCCACTGAAGCAAAGCACCGCAACAGTGTAAGAAGAGGAGAAACTGACAGCTGGGTCCCAGCTTTACTATAGATCTCATTTCATCTTCCTAAGAGTGCGGTTGTATTTTGCTGATGAAAAGGTTACGTAACAAGTTAGTGGCAAAACCAGGATTCAAACCATGGTCCGTTTCACTCCAGAATGTTCTTGCTACTATACTGTGAAGTTTTCCATGGTAGTAGCGATTATATTCTCCAGCCATTTCTTCTCTGCCTTTTAGAAGAATACTACTGATTGGAATCCTCAAATCTTTCTTAGTTCATTTAGGGGTCAATTATGACATTACCTTCTGCCTAGGGAAAAAAAACCATCCCTATATCGGAATCCTTTCTTCTAATGTGTTTTCCGCCTTTCATTTCATCCCTTATCTTCATTTCCTCCATGAAACAAATAATTGCCAGAAAGCACTGCAGGAATATGCCAGTATCTCTGAAAAATTACCACCTACGAATTTTGCCATGAAAAGGGACGTGCTGGAGGGCCAGGCTCGGGTTCTGGCTCGCCTGGGAAGGCACGCGGAAGCACTGGCCATCGCTGCGGACTTGGTGAGTGGTTTCATTGCTTGTTTTCATTTGTTTTCCTTAGGATGGTTGAATGTTTTCTAAAAACACAAAGCAAAACAAAAACCACCTTGCTAAAAGCAAAATGTGTGACCTTGGAGCAACAGAAGAAAATTGCCAGTGGCATAAGAACTTTATGATGCTGAACAGTTTGGAACTGTAGACATATCATTGATTTTCTTGTCATTTTCCCCTGCATTATGCTCAAAATACTTCATTGCCTGAAAATCTCATTTGCAAAGGTTTTACTCTTGTTGGGAATAAATACTGAATGGAAGGATTATCAGTGATCTGTTTTCTTCTTTAGATTTTATTTTTCAAATGTTCTGCAATGAACATGTGTTACTTTTGTAAAGAGGGAAAAAAAAGTTACCCAAAAAAATGACTAAATATCATACTAAGCCAAGCTTTAGTACTCCTTTTATTCTTAAAAGGAATTTGCAGAATTTTTCTTAAGGGATAAAGAAAAGCAGCTTTTTTGCAATTCTAGATTCTTCTTGTTTTTGTTCTCAGATTAAGGAATTTATGGTTTACTTCTGTGGTTGTTCGTATAATGTTATATGGGATTGGTCCTAAGTTTTGATGGCCAGTGTTCTTCCTCAGAGGGAACGAATGAGGTGCCATGTCACTGGTCTTGAACCCTGTGGACCTCGTTGACCAAGGCCACCCTCACGTGTGCGTGCATCTGATCTGTACTTTCTCGTTAGCTAAGAGAAATCCCTAAATTTGCTTGCTGAGGGGTCCCTTGCATAGGGCCTCAGCCTCTTGCAGTGAGAGGAAGCTTCGGTGGCGATTGTCTTCAGAACATGGAAAACAGCTGCGTTCTCTTCTTTCTTTTCCTCCCCTCTACCATTTGTGGGTTAATGGGATGCATGTTGTCACAAGAACCTATTTCTCAAACAGTGTAAACATCTCGTAGTGGTGCGTTCGTGTGATGGGCTGTGTAAGGAAACTGCTTTCTGACAGTAAACGACTCTTTCATTTATGAACTCCCCCGACATCTCCTTCAGTCCCACGTGGGCCCCATTCTGGGCTCAGTGCAGGGACGGGCGAGGCATGTCTCTACCCTGCACACATCGCTCGTTAGTGTCTGCGGGGGAGTGGCAAGCCAGCTAAGAGCAGCTCTTCTGTGACTTCCTTCTTTCTCCTGCCACTTCTGCTGTGGCTGACTGGCTCTGTGTGAGGTCGGGCAAGTTACCTGACTTCTTTGTGGTGACTCGCTTGCCTCATCTATCAAATGGGGGTGACAGTAGAATCTGTCTTCAAGGATTCGGGAGGGTGCCGTGAGTAAAGCCCTGGAAGGAGCAGGGCCTGGCACCCGGTGAGCACTCCGTAAGTGGGAGCTGCAGCCAGCATCCTCCCAGCACAGAAGAGTTCAGTATTCTGGAGAAATGACACCAACTCGTTTAAATGGAATTTCACTTCCACAGAGTTATTTAATAGTTACGCTATCAAAACCCTCCTGTCAAAGTCATAGTTTGCACGTAACAGCCTCTACCCCAATGCACACTTGCTTTCTCAGTATCCTCCTGCTTTTACACACTGTAAAGGACCACTGCCTGGTTGTAGAAGAAAGGAAGCATTTGTTGTAGGTCATCGAGACATGATACTTTTCTTATTATAAGTGAAACATGAAGAAGTATTACTCAACAGTTATCAAACATCTGTTCTGTCCGAGCTCTGCTGTGTACTAGGAATTCAGCCTTGAACAGAAACCCTCTGGAACTTCATGATCTGTTGGGAAGGACAGAATGCTAAACAAGACTAATAATAAAACCAGACAGTTTTGTTGTTGGGAAGACACAGCGTGACCAGATAGGTTGCGTGGGGCTTTTCTTCCTGTCCTTTCACTCAGTATGTGGCCATTGAGAGTCCTCCAGGCCTTCGCTTCCTGGAGCGCCAGTGTCTCCGGCCGCTGGTTTTACTGCTATTCCTTACTCAGTGTACTTCTCTGCGGCAGCTCGGTTTGCACACTAGACGTTCATTTAGTCTGCTGTGTGCTCTCCACAGACTTCAGCTTAGGGGGAAAAAGGCTTGTCTTCCCGAACCCACAGGGCTTTTGCCATATGGCAAGTTAGGCAAGAGATGGTGGCTCTGGTTAAGGAGACTTGAAAAGGATTTTTCTGACCGAAGGAAACCAAGCAACCTCCTCCAGCCAAAACTATCTGGCCTTGGTCATAGTTAGCAGGGGAGGCATTTGGATTCAATTATGATGCAGCATGAAACACGGCGAGCTTCAAGGCTGTCCTGCTTAAGATGTCTGAGCCAAGGAAAATTTGGACATAGAGTTCATTCGAATCCTCAAGGAAATTACCACTTGGAGTTTTGGAAAGCCTGGAATATTAAATGGGACCATTAGCCCAGGGTACAGAAGAGTTGGGTTTCTCAACTGTCTGGCTGAAGATAGTAAAGATTATAATAAAAATTGAAAATAAACTGGCATTTATGTCTTTGGTGCTGCATCTTATCAGACCACTGTCACATGAATTGTGTTACTGTTATGACATTAGGATGTTTGGGAATGACTGGAGCTTTGTTTGCTGGGTAGTAGATATTTCTCTAGGTTTATGGTTTCAAACTGAGATCTGTTGAAAAATATTTTGGCCTGGCTGGTGTGGCTCAGTGGATTGAGTGTCGTCCCAAGGTCTAAGAGGTCCCAGTTTGATTCCCGGGCAGGGTACCTGCCCCCGTTGCAGGCTCGATCCCCAGCAAGGGATGTGCAGGAAGCAGCCAGTCAATTTTTCTCCCTCACATCAATGTTTCTCTCTTCCTCTCCCCTAAAACATCAATAACAACATGTTAAAAAGAAAAATACTTTGTTCACTCTCCTTGTGTAGGTGCTGAAAGATAATTGTGATTTATAACACAAACTGGGTTTTTAGGAACCTTCATTTTTATATAGAAAATGTTCCGCAGTTTAAAGTTTTTCATCTTTTTTATCCTCCTTAGGAAATGAAAGCGAGTAACACGGACCATTTAACCACTGTGCTCTGCCTCCAGCTCGCCATTTGTCCAGGCTTGCAGAACGTGGAGAACACCATCTTCTGCTTGCAGAAACTGATTTCTTTGCATCCTTTCAATCCTTGGAACTGGGGCAGATTGGCGGAGGCTTACCTGACTCTGGGGCCAGCTCTCTCAGCATCGTTTGCCTCACCTCCCGGTCAGAGCCACTTCACCTCAAGTGACAAAACTGTCGACTCCTGTCCACACCCAGGAAAGGACCATCCTTTGTGTTTCCCTGAGACGTTGCCGGAGAACTCTGTGTGCTCTGTGGACACAGGCAGCAGTGACAGCCAGACGGAGGAGAGCACTCTGAGTGAGGTTCAGGCCCCCGAGGCAGAAAGGACAGCCGTGGGGTCGCTGGAGGCACAGACGAAAGCGTGCGCCTCTCTCGTCCGAGCCAGGTAAGGACCGAGGATCCACGGGGGCGTGACCCCAGGCTCGGAGCAGAGGCTTCCTTTTTCTAATGTAAGTTTCAGAAAGTTCTGAGCCAGACACTTGGTATGTTTTTGAGATTTTTCTCCTCTGGGCTAGATGGACTCCTTTGAACGTGTCCTTTTAGTATATGTAAGATTTAGAAACACAACTATATTTGCTCAAGGATACAACTTGTATCACTAAAGATAAAAAAATGGAAAACAGTGAAATTAGGAAAAGAAATGCGTGAAACATTGACATGGGGGAAGAGATATTTTCAACAAGGAATGTATCATTCATGTTCCACAGAAATCTAAAGAAAATCTGCTCTTATGTTTGAATCTCTGTGATTAATGTGACTAAACAGTGTCTAATTTATTCTACAGAGAATTCCCATGGATTAGGGACTCCACATACTTTGAATCTGTAACGTAAAGTGTAAGGGAGGGGAAATGCAGTTGACCGATTCTGTAATGTACGAGAGAAACAGATGCTCACAGATCTCAAATGATACCAAAAACAGTGGTTTCTCTTTTTTAACTCTGGAGAATTGAAGAAATATGGTTTAACAGTGAGGCTTACTGAAAACGCTATCTATTTGGCAGAGTTCAGCCTATTCTGATGTTTATTTAGTGTTGAGTATGTCACTGGAATTGAGAAGTGGACTGAATTACAACTGTGTGCCAGGCACGTGCTGGGTGCTGGACTCGGAGTCGTTAAGGAAGAGTCCCTTTCCTTACATCACTGCCGCTGAGGAAGGTCTGCACACAGTCGGTGACGCAGCAGACAGCCCGGTTCCCGCGGGACCTGCGCCCGGGAGCACTGTGCGGAGGAAGAGGGAAGCCCCCAGAGGAACCGGCTTGTGCTGGGTGCTGCTGGGAACATGCACTGAGCTCCTTCGCGTACATGACCACACTGATCCTCACCACGCTGGGTGGATGCAGGGACCCCACTGTAGAGACGAGGAAGCGAATTTAGAGTCGTGCCAAAGTGGCCCAGCTCTGGAGAGCTGCCAGGGTGTCCACTCAGGTCTTTGCCTCCAGAGCCTGTGTCCTTTCCAGAATATCTTGCTGACCCCAGGGAGTGTTCCCCACTTGAGGAGAGGCACGCTAGAGGAAGAGAAAGGTAGCACGGCCCAAGGGGTGGAAAGGCGGGTGTGGCAGCATTGTGATGTGGTGTGGTGACCACAGCGTTGGTGTGAGCTGGAGGCGCAGTTATGTGGGAGGCGGGACTTTGGAGTCAGAGCGGTTTTTAAGGAACCTGATCAATTGTCATGGAGCGATGAGTCTGGACTCCTCCACTTGCTCGCTGTCCGACCTTGCACAGGTCTCCATTCCCTCGTCTTACCAGATGGAGAAGTGGGGGCGATGCCTCCCTCATGGGGTTGTGAGAACTGAAGCATCCCGGCCACCTACTGCAGTGTGCAGTATGCAGTCAGCCTTGGCAAATGTACTGCTGCTGGCTTTCGTCATTGTTAGCACAAGACGTTAACTGTCATCTTGAAGACTTTGACCCTCATGCCAAAGGCCTGAAGAGTATGTGACGGGCCGTGACCTGGGGAGGGAGGTCTGGTGGCAGGGAGGAGATCTTGGCAGGAGTTTGGAGCTTGGGACACCAGTGAAGGGACTGTGGGCTAATTGGTGGATAGTGATGATAAAAAAGGAAGTGGATGTCACCGCAGGATGGAATAGACAGGACTTGGTGACCAGCTGAGTGTTTGGGAAGGATGGGGTGAGGAGGGAGAACAGAGGAGTCAGAGACGACGGAAGGGTTGCCCTTGGGTGGAGGTGGTGCCTTTCCCTGAGACAGGACACAAGGCAGGAAGAAGAGAGCAGGGTTGGGGGCAAGTGATGGTAGGTGTGATGTGCTGAGTCAGGAGCCTGCAGGACACTTAATTAGGAAATGCAAGTCGAGCCCAGGAGGCAGCCGGAGATCGAGGGGTCTGGGGAAGAGATCAGCAGCCAGGTGGCGGTGAGAAGACGGTAGGCTCAGTTCTGAGAAGAGGATCTGAAAGCTCCGTCATCTGTGGCCTTTGCGAAGGCGGTTTCATCAGTCATGGCTGACCTTGCGGAGGGTTGAGGAACGAATGAACACGAAGTAGAAGTAGCAAGTGTAAGCTGTGTCTTCAGGAAATTTCAGGAACGAGAGAGGGAGAGCAGGTACAGAAAGGGCTCACACACGTGCTTCCAGAGGCCAGGGTGGTGCAAGCAGGCCGGACTGAAACCGGGTGGATGTGAAGTGGGCCGGGTTCTTCTCTGAAACTCCAGTGACTCCCCATTGCTCTTACATAAGTTCCACGCTTCTTTCCACTGCCTTCGAGGTCGTGTGTGAGTTGACCCTGCCTCTCCTCTTCCTCGTGTACTACAGTCTTTCTTCCTGGCTGTGTTCTGCCCACAGGGAGCTTCGAGATGTTCACACACATCAAGCTAGTTCTTGGGTCAGGCCCCCTTCCCCCTCAGCCAGCCCTCTTCCCCCAGACATGACTTGACGGGTGTGTCAGAAAAGCCTTCCTCCGCTGCCCCATCCCCAGGAGACACTGTATCCTCCTGTCTTGGATTTTTCTTCATAGCACTCGTCACCACCTGAAATCGTCTGATTGTTGGTGATCTCTCCCTCTCTCCCCTGAGGCAGGAGCCTGTTCTGCTCAGCGGCGTTTCCCAGTGCCTTCATCAGTGTGCCATCCACACAGTCAGTCTTGAACACAGTGAGGGAGCACAGTGAGGGAGCCCCGCGAGGGGGACAGGAGGGGGACAGGAGGGAGGAGGAGCCCGAGACCAGGTTGTGAAGGGGACAGGAGGGAGGAGGAGCCCGAGACCAGGTTGTGAAGGGGACAGGAGGGAGGAGGAGCCCAAGACCAGGTTTTGATCATGATGGGAGGTTAGTGGGGAAGTAGTTGCAAAGTGGTCATCAGATGGGCCTCGAAGATCTGGGCCCATTTAGGGTAATTGAAGTGCGTTAGAGAATTGAATTAGTCCTTGAGGTCAAGTTGCTGTGGGTCAGGGACATGGACGGGTCACCGAGCACTGCCTGCAAAGAACACCGCCCCATGATTCTGAGGGAGGAGCGCGGACTGGGAGGCTTGTCCTTTCCCCTCAACATTACTCAAGCTTTTGATCACGTGACTTCTACAGGCCACCCTTTGGGGTTTTGCTTTCTAAAGGTTTCTTTGAGAAGCTTGGTCAGTGCATTTTTGAAAAGACGACTCTCTAGGGTAAAGCTGGGCACTTTGTCCAGAGTCAGAAGCGTTAGGGATTCGGATGAGGGTGCGTGCCTGCTGTTTAGCCCAGCGGGACTCTCGTCCAGCTGAACGCTTGTGCTACGTGTGAACATTTCCCCACTGCCTTCCCTTCTGGGGAACTACACACCGGGACTCTGTTTTCCAGGCTTTTGCTTCAGCTCACCCAATCTCAGCAGACGTCCTTTGCTTTGGAGAGGAACCTAAGGACCCAGCAGGAAATTGAAGATAAAATGAAAGGCTTCAACTTCAAAGAAGGCACTTTGCTGCTGATAGCTGAGGTGAGTGTACCCCTAGGGTTTATGTGAAATGAGGCACAGATATTTTTCCTGGCTCCAATATCAGTTTTTCAAAAACAAGGTCAAATCTCACCCTCTCAAGGACTTCTATGTCCTTCCTTTACGTGCCTTTGGTCACTTCATCCCAAATGTGGCCTCTTCGTTATCTTTCTGCTGCAGTGAGCTAGATAGAGGCAGGAGCTCCGTCTCATTTGCAGGCTGCTGCTGTGAGGACCCGCCTGCTTGAGCATCAGGCGGCCCAGTGGCTGTTCTCTGAGTGCTGACTAAGGGAGTGAATAAAGGTTGGCTTTCATGCAGGACTCTTGTTTGTTTTCCCCCCGACCATCCCGTAACAACAGCCTGTGGGCCAGGTGGGGCTGGGAGTGAGGTGCCCGGAGGCTGTGCTTCACCAGGGTCAGGTTTTCAGCGGCAGAGCTGCCCTGTAACCCGTCCAGTTGCCAGTCAGCTGTCTGCTCCACCCTCTTACTGCTCTGATGGCTGCAGACACTCAGATGTCAATTTTTAAATCTTTATTGGCTTTTTAAAAAAATATGCTGTTGAAATGTCTTAAGATGGCATTTTGTGATTATTAGTTATTTACATTATTCACTCTGGTTTCTTTTAGTGTATAATTATAACTTGACAGCTCAGGGGCTTTTCCCATGAGAATAACTCAATCCATACACATCCTGACGTCATACTTTCAGGAAGTCCTCACTGCAAATCTACAACTGCCCAGCTCCTCTCTCCCTACGCCAAGCTGAGCTCCCCCTCGACTCCTTTACCCTGTCCCGGGACACACTCTCCTGTCTGTTGTCTCCGAGCCTTTCTCAACCTTCCCCTTGTACAGGCTCTTTCCCTTGAGCCCGCAGACAGGCACAGAGACCCCGTCTCTTCCGAGTTCACCGTAGTCTTTCCTTAGTCTGCTTTTCTTCAGGTTTCTGTAGATTTCTGTGGACCACTCACTGTGGACCACTCACCTTTTGTTTCCTCTTCCCTGTGCTCGGAGAAGATACACAAGTCTGCTTTTCTCCCGTGTTTCTTACCATCCCTCTACCTCTCGAGACACCACCGTGTCCTAAGGACTGCGTTCTGTGCAGTGCCGCTGAGGTTCTCTGTGCCCTCTGCCTTTCTCCACAGCAGCCGTAACCACGCACACGTAGCAGTGGTCACCTCTGGGCTGATGGCCCTCTGGGCTGTATCTCTGCTCCCTTCTCTGGAACGCTTGCCTCACGTCTCAGATTAACAGCCTATAGAGTGATTAATCTGGGATGATGCTTGATTATTTTGCTGTCGCTTCAGTACAAATGTCTACAACGGAACTGCTCATCAGAACACCTCCCACCTTTGTCAGTGCCCAGGATAGTGTCGTACCTTCAGCAGACTCGGCCATCAGCAGGCGTTTGTTGAGAGGAGTCAGGGGAGTTAGAGATTACCAATCTCTTCCTTGTAGACTTAATTTTTTCCATTGATTCTGTCTGTTGTTATTCGTTTATCCAGACCAGGAACCTCACTAGCTGTGGGGCTCGTCCTCTGTTCTCACCTCTAGCCAGGCACCGAGCCCACCCTTCCTTCGGGGTCCACCTTTTATTTCTCCTCCACCACTGCACCATGGTCCCTTACCACCTATGGTGACGCTCACAGTGACCTCCAGGCTTGCTTCTCCTGCTCTTCCTTCCTCCCCCCAGAGCTCTCTTGAACAGCGCCTCTGAGTTCATCTTAAAACTTTGAGGGCTGGCTGAACAATCGGGTGAAGGGATTAAGTACAGGTTGATGGTAAAGTAGTCATGGGGATGTGAAGTACAGCATACGGAATATAGTTAATACTATTGCAACAACTATGGATGGTACCAAGTGGGTACTAAACTTATTGGAGGATCACTTCGTAGGTTATATGATTGTCTAACTACTATGCTGTGCACCTGAAACTAGTAGAAAATAATATTGGATGTCACCTGTAATTGGAAAATAAAATTCAATAAACATTACTTTGACCATGTTACCTGCTTGCTTAAAAACGAAAATGTGTCACCATTACTCAGAGGTCAGGTCTAGTTTAAGACCTCGATAATGATGTCCAAGGCCTTCCAGAGAGTAACACCAAACCTGTGACCTAGTGATTCCTACACAGGTCTTTGCTGCCACTAGACTGATCTGCCCAGGCCTGATGAACCTGTCGTGGGTTTCCCATCTCCACCTGCTTGCTAGAGATCCAGCCCCAATCCGCATCCTAGGTGGCTGTCCCAGGATGTTCTGTTCTGTGGCCGTTTCTCCCTCATCTGAGCTCGGTAGAAGGATGGCTTGACTAGACAGCTCTTTAGTCCCCCCAAATCAAGGTGCGTCTTGTCTTTGTGGGTGTTCTATCAGAGAGAACTACCAGAGAATCTGAGCCGATTCTGGCCAGTAGGGGGCAGTATTGTGCCTTTGGAGGGCAAACCTCCTTCTAAAATCTTAGAGGTTCCTGTGGTAACTGTTCTGGAAGGAGTCTCTGTAGGTCAGGAAAGGGTGGACCCAGCTCTTGCTTTGATTTCTTTGGAGAACTTCTAAGAGAAAGAATCTGTGTGGTCCCCCGCCCCCCCCAGCAGTTATATCCTGCGCGAGCCTGTTCTTCAGTCATTTACAAGGAGGGAGACTCACTTGCCATTGCCAAGAGAGACACTGTCGGCTGTAAGAAGGTTGACTCGGCTCCCTGTAGGCCGACTAGCTCCACTGCCACGTTATACCTCAGCGCTGTGTTTACTCTGGGAAGGATGAGACAAGAACCCTGGGGTAATAGTTTACCCATGTGGCCCTCGATCACTGCTTCTGACGAGACATCTTTTCAGTATGTTGGAATTGCTGCAATTGTTGGAATTGAAGGAGTTCTGCGAGTATGAAATCCTTTACGCTGAAGACTGGCGTGGTCTTGCATGCCGCGTCTGGTGCCCCTTTTATTGGGTCAGGGTTTTTTTCCTTCCTGCTGCAGGTTATGGGAGAAGATATTGTCCCAGAAAAAATAAAAGACGAGGTACACAGTGAGGTGAAGTGTGTGGGCGCTGCAGCCCTGACCTCCTTGGTGATTGCATCTTCGAAAGAATTTGAAGACAAATGGTTCAGAAAGATCAAAGACCACTTCTGTTCCTTTGAAAATCGGTTCCATGCACAGATACAGATCTCCGCGTAGTCGTCCGTTCAAAACACATCAGGCCTGTGTGACTGTCTTGTTTACTTCAGAGAGAGTGCACTGCTAACTGTGGACTAGAACGAATTAAAAATGGTTATGTTTTATAAAAATGGCTGTCTCCCAGGTTCTTTCTACTGTGTTCTGTTTCTTGATTTTTTGTTGTCTTTTTAGATTTTTGCTATTCACCTGGCTTAGCCTCCTGCTCCTTTAGAAGTTATCTATTGGAAATGTGTGTAAAAGAGGCTTTTAGATTTTAGTCTTTTAAAAACAGATAATACATATAACCAGCAGTATAGCTATTCACATTGTGTAGGTAAATTCATTAGGATCGACCATGATTGTTGAAATGAAGGGCATGTCAAGGTCACTTTCATGGACACTGCAGGAGAATTTATTATTCGTGGCCCGACCAACAGTGTAAGTGTCCAAATACTTGCATCACTTCCTCTTGCCTCCGAGTCTCCAGGGGTGACAAATATGGACCCAGGGAGCACTGTCTCCCAGGGAGAATGTCCTGTCCTTTCAGCCACACAGATTATCGTCACTGTCTGTAGCATCATCTTCAGATACTGAAGGCCATTACCTTACTCAAACTACCTGGGATGGAAGAGCCCTCTGGCTTTCCTCCTGGTTCACTGTCTACACCTGGCTGCCTGAGTGGTCTCCCTGGAGCTGCTCATACCCTCGCTGCCCGGGTAGCGGCATGCCCAGGCCTGTGAGAACCCAGCCTCCTGCTCTCGAACACCTCGGCTGTGATGGAGGGCGGGAAGGGCACCAGGAAGACTGGGAGCCTCTGGGTTTCATCACACGCAAGTCATCTTGATCATTTCCAGCACAGATGGTGAAGGTAATGATGCAGCAGTGATTATGCTAAAGAAAAATGTCAGGCGAGCCGACTTAAACACCCCACCCTCTTGTCAATGAATCGCTCAAAAGGTGAGCAGATGTGAACCACAGAGATGACAGCACTCCAGGTGGGTGTGGTGGGACCCAAGGGCCGTCCTTGCCTCTGGTGACTCAAAAGATCCGTCTTGGGGTTTGGGGTTTGGGGTTGTGCTTGGTATTTGATCCGGTGAGTCTTTTGTTCTTTATACACTCCCACCCCTGCGATCTTCATACAGTAGCCCAGGAGTCTTATAAAAATGAAGATCCTTCTCAGAGTCCTTCATTGATTTCCCAGACCTCTGGTCCATGGGCCGACGCTCTAACTGCTGAGCCAAACCGGCCCGGGCAAGATGTTTTCATGTTAGACATGCCTGGGTGGAAACCTCTGAAACAAAGCCAGAGCCACTGTTTATTGTTTTAAATAACAGCTTGCTTGTGCTTTTGAAATTTCATTTATAAAGGGAATTTACACACTACTTTCCAAGGTCTTAATGCTAGAAACAAACCAACACCAGGGAGAAGAATACAATAGTCCAAAGCTCTGGCTCCAAAGGCTCGGGTGCAGTGGTGCTCACGCGCCCCGTGCCAGGCCCCGGCCCTTGCTGAACCAGCTCTCAGGCTGCTGCTGTGGCCCCTGAGCCCTGCTGCACAGCCAGAGCTCAAGTGTGTGTCATCCTGCCCGTCCCCCACCCCGCTGAGCCAGCAGAACCACGGTCCTAACGAGCAACCTCTTCCCAGGCGAAGTGTATCTACTGGTGGACTTGGCCACAGAGGCCAGGAGACATGGAGGACAGGCATTTGTCCCACCCTCCCTCAGCCTGCCTTCCTCGGCAGAGCGGCTCGGTCACCTAAGCTTCAGCATTGACTGCTCAGGCCTGGAGCTGATGGCCACCCTGCCCCTTGTCTGGTGCTACCCTGTCAGCACACAGGATACCTGGCAGTCGTGCACTCAGTGACCCGACTGATTGGAGGTGGGGCGTCTGTGTCCGCCTTTGGAGAAAACGTGAAGGAGATGCTCAGAACGGGGCAGGGCCAGGTCTGCGCTGCTGCTTCCTGCTTCCGGGCCCTTGTGCTCTAGGCCCAGCTCCGTTTGGCCTGTGGTTCCACCAGATGCTTGGGATATGCAGGCAAACAGTGGCCCTCAGGTGTGTGTCCTCATCACCAGGACCTGTGCATACATTCGGTGACATGGCAGAAGGAATGCTTGGAATGGTCTCAGCCTATCAGTAACCAATGTTGTGGCTGGACTTGCCCTGGTGGTTCTTATGACTACAAGACGCCCTTCAGGAGTGACCATCCAGGAAAGTGTCGATGGAAGGAATGTCCAGACCTGTAGAGAGTTTTATGCGTTTATCTGAGCCAAAGCTGCTGACAGTTGCAGGGAAGCAAGACCTCAAACTCTGCGGAGTGACGGGGAGCACGGAGGAGGGGCCATGCGGACCACCTGAGGCTGGTGAGAGGAAGGCCTGGGTGGGTTGCAGGGTAGTCAAGATGACGTGCTCTCTTGAGGGTGGTTATGCCTTCCAGGGGTGTCCTGGCATCTCAAAGGTGGTTAACCTAGATGCGCAAGAACAATGGCCAGGGCTGGCTTAAACCCTTTCACTAAAGAAGTTACGGGCCAGGGGCTGACTGCCCACCGGGACCTGCCCAGTGAGGGGTTTACCACTTACTGCAGCACCCCTTTTTGAACACGACTGGAAAGATAACGGCCTGTCACATGAGACCTGGAAGTTCCACAGCACACCTGGGCCACACAGCACATGGGCCTGGGGTCCAGGTTAGGGGCCGAGGGTTTGGTGGGCTCACTCTTTGTTGGTGAATTTAAAACATAAAGGCTAAAATTTAAAACACAAGAAAAGAAAAGAAGTACCCCAAATGGTCAGTTATTGAAATCAGCCATGATCTCTAAAACCAGGAGGCCTCTGGCGTTGGTGTACACCCTCAGAGGGCACACGCCTTCCCCACTGGCTGCCCAGCCCCTGCCCGGGGGATGGGGGGTTGGTGGTCAAATACCGGAATTTAAGCCCCTTTGGAGTAGAAGCCAAGGTTGGTCCCCAGGGACTTGAGAGAGAAGAATTCAGGAGGGAAATGACTGGGCACTCCAAGCCAACTTGTCCCTTCCGGAGTTCGAGGGCACACGGAGAAGGTGCCACCCGCAAACGGGAAGCAGCCCTCAGCAGAGCCTGGCCATGCTGGCACCCGCACCTTGGCCTCTGGCCTCCAGAACTAGAGAAACTCCTGTTGTTTCCAAGCCTCGCAGCTGGTATTTGTCACAGCGGACTGAACAGCCAGGTCCTCCCCACTCCCGGAAAATCAAGGGAGAGGCCTGGCTGGTTCTCTTCGGGGGAGGTGGGACAGTGGGGCCCAGGGAGCTTGGGGGTTCTTCCCTAGCAACCATTTCACTGGGAAGGTCTAGAAATCTCTGTCCTCAGACCCGGCTCACCACCTAGACGGTGTCTGTGTGGATCTGCCGCACGTGGTGACCGGGCAGTGCAGAGAGACAGCCTCGCAGGCACCGCTCGAACTGGCTCCGGCCCCCTTGCCCTTGGCCTGGGCACACGCCGCCCCTTGTGCCCGGGGCCACCCTCTGGCCTCTGCCCACTCGGCACCTGTGGACACCCTCACTCACCACACCCTACAGGTGGTAAGGATGGATGGAGCACCTTGACCGGCAACACATCTGTGTCAGTCAAAATACAGAGGCCCGCCAACAAAGGAGGCCGTGTTTGCTTGGACGTGTGTCTGCTGTGTTACATTCTCTGATAACGGCTTTCCTGACACTCTTCAGGACGACGCTGAGAACGTGAGTGACAGCTTCTCTGTGTCCAACAGCTTTTTGGACCAAGTCCAGGAGATGAAGCATTTGACGATGTGACCACATTTCTGTGCTAGGCAGGGGGCAGGCAAGCTGGAGGAGGAGCCCAGGTGGTGAGGGCAGGAGGGGGCAAAGGTCGTCCTGGGTGTCCCACGTTCGGCCCCCTGAAGGAGCAAATCAGCAATTATTGTGCCCTGGGGTGTCCAAGGCCCTGTTGTCAGGGTTCCTGGGAGCCTGCAAAGATGCCCTTGACCTCCGGGCTCTTGCACTGCAGATAGATTAGAACTCAGAATCTGGCGATGTCCAGATGAATACCGCAATAGTTTCTAGGAGCGGCTTGGGGGCAGGGTTGGTCATGAGCAATCAACACTCGCAGTCAGTCCTACAGGGGGGTGATGTGATCTCTAGTCCCTGGCGTGGGGTATGTGTTGGGCCATAGTGAAGCCCCCCATTCCCCTGTGCCCCCCACACTATCATACAGTTTCTTTCATTCTCATGTTTCATGGTGGTGGTTCACGTGGTGTCACCTCCTGCTGACTGGGTTCTCCAGGACAGATGTGAGTCTGGGTCTCTGCCTGTCACTGTGCCTGGAACTTGGGGGCACCTCATTGCTGTTGCTGACTCACAGCGCAGTAGAGACTGGGTGTTTCAGGATGGCCCCCAGCGAGGAGGCCTGCCAGGGCAGGTGCACCGCGACTCTAGCCTGAGCAGAACCACACATGGGCTGGGGAGGATCGGGAACTTTCAAGGATGTGTGTTGGCCTTCAGCCACCCCCTCGCCAGGTGTGTAAAGCCCTCCTGGTATCCTGGTGGCTTGGGATGAGAGCCCAAGGCTGGGGGCCCTGGAGAATCCAGTCCCACAAAGGGCCACAAAAGAATGGCCCAGCCTTGTCTCAGTGGCCCCAAGGTTGTAGCTGTCAAGAGTCTGGATCCCGGTGCAGTAAGAAGCAACCCAAGTCTCAGTGACTTAAACAACAAAGTTTTCTTTCTTTCTTTTTTTTTTAAGTATGTTTTATTTACTTTTAGAGAGAGGGAAAGGGAGAGGGGGAGAGAGAGAAACATTGATGAAAGAGAAACATCAACATCAATCTGCTGCCCCCTGCACCCCCCACTGGGGCCTAAGCCTGCAAGCCAGGCATGTGCCCTGACCGGGAATCGAACTGGTGACTTCTCGGTACATGGTATGGCGCTCAATCCACTGAGCCAGATGGGCCGGGCAAAGGTATATTTCTACTTCACTGCTGTGGGTGGGCGGGTAGGAGCGGGAGGGCCTGCTCACACAGTCTCAGGAGCCTGGCCGGCAGGGGGCTCCGCCCAAGGCGTGCTGCTGCGAGCCAACTGCGCGGCCTGTGAAGCTCCAGCTGGGAGGGACCCTCAGCGCCGAGCTGCTAAACTGCCTCGTCCAGCTCTACGCCCCAGACGCCTCGGCTTGCCCATCTCTCGGCTCCGGTCTCCATCGGCCCACATAGCTTGCAGTGGCGGTTCTGGGGCCTCATCCCGAACTCGTCGGGCCAAGGGATTCCCAGTGCCCTGCCTTTCCGGGGACAGCAGTAGTCTCACCCCTCCAGAGACATCCAGAATGTTCACACACCCTCTGGATCTCTCTCCCGGGTCTCAGGAGTGGACCGTTCCTGAGGGCTGGGAAACAACCACCCTCTGCTGCTCAGTGCCTCAGTTTACCCATAGACACAATGTGGGCTGCACCTGCCCCTTCCGTATTACAGAGATTCAAGGATACTGAAAAGCTCCGGCTGCTCTGTGGGAAAAAGGGCTCTACTTTCACGATCCTTGTCCCCTAGTTCCCTTTCCCACCCCCCTGGAACTTCCTGGAGTGAGCTGTGTAGGCCACACTAGAGGGGAACCCAGGGACTGCTGGGGGTTGGGAAGGGAGCGTCTCAGGCCTGGGAACAGGCAACAATGTTGCCCAAGTGCCTTTAGTTCAAAGGGACCAGGGTCAAAGCTGCTAGTAGTTGCAGTGGGGTCTTTGGGCCAGAAGGTCCAGAAATCAGGGAGGGCAGCTGGGAGAAGGGACCCCTCAGAAGTGAGGGGAGGCCTGCAGAACTGGCCTCCAGATGGGGGCCACCCTGGGCACCAGGCCCAGTTGTTCCAGCTGCAGCCGCATGGGCCTGTGGGCGCTGAGCTTGCTGTAGAGGGCGAGGGGCCCGTCGTGGGGCCGCAGGGAGAAGTGGGCCTGTGGGGTCAGGGCCCCCCAGAGGCCGTGGTAGGGCTGAAGCCTGGGGGGCAGAGGTGGGTTTGGGGCCAGGGGGCTGCTCGGCCCGGAGGACCTGGACAGACTCCGGTCCTGGGGGTTGCTTCCCGTTGATGGGCTGCCGAAGGGACTGGAGGACATTTGGTCACTGGCAGACCAACTACTGCCACTGAGGCGGCGGGGTGGGGGGCTGCGCCCTGCTCTGGGCTGGAGGGGTGCGTCCAGCCTGGGGGACTTCAGGCCCATCACCGGCTGGGAGAAGGCGCAGAGGTGGCGAAACTCCTCGTCAAACAGCTGCACCGCCGGGCCCGTGAACTTGGAGAGGATGTTCCGGTGGACGTGTCCGCAGAGCCAGGTGAAGCTGTGGGAGGGAGGGGGGGGTGAGGGGGGCTGGGCCTTGGGACCTCGCTGGGGGGGGGTGGGGTGGGGTGAGGGCGGGACTGTGAGAGAAGACTCCCGCGCCCACGGCCCGCTGTGCTGCCCCACTCCGTCCTGGCGGAAGCCGGGAGGGAGACCGTGCAGCCCCCTTTCCCAAATGGCAGAACTGAAGCTGAGTCCAGCAAAGTTCTGCTGGGGAGCGAGCAAGTCGCCAGAGTGACTTTCTGGCCTCAGGTCCAGGCTCCCTCCTGCTGCTCAGACTGAGGCCCTCAGATGATCCCTGCAGGCGCAGAGGGGCCGAGTCCCAGTGTCCCCAGCTCCGTGCTCTTGTGAGTCATCTAGGCTCCACCTGTGAAGTGTGGGGACACCTGCCTCTTCTAATCAAACAGGGCTGGAGAGGGCAGCTGCACCCGGCAGGGGCGGCCCTTCAGGAAAATCTACAAGGGGCAGCTCTGTTTTCAGGCTCATGAACCCAGAGGGGGACGAGGGGCAGATGGAAAAGAGCAGACAGGGTGAGCCACGGGAACTGGGCGTGAGTGCGGTTCCCTGGCACACCCACCAGAGGACACCCTCAAGCAGAGGTCTTGTCCCTCCGCCCTTGTAAGCTTTTAAGTGAAAACAAAATGCTCAAAGAGTTTATGTATTACCTTTATAATCCCTGATTTAACCAAATTCCTTTCTATTTCAGATGGAAAACTCCCCTCATTACCCCCCCACCACCACCAGCACCAAAAAAAAAAACCCTTGAAAATGTCTGGTGATGGCACCAAAGAGCCACCAGACCATCACATTAGAGATTCCCATGTCCCTAATAATGTGAACCCAGGCGTGGGGAGCCATGGGCAGGATGGCCAGAGGAGGACCAGGTCATCCTGAAGGACAGCCAGGGCCGAGCAGAAACAGCCCTAATCAAGGTCTCAACCTCCAGCCCCAGCCTACCTGCCTTGCCAACCAAAGGCAGAAGCCAGCCTGCAGGGTCCCTGCTCTGCGAGACGGGGCAGGCCCACAGGAAACTGGGGCAATCCTGGGAAGGACAATGGGGCTTTGTTTACGCCTCACCTCCCGCCTAGGAGCCACCCATCCTGCCCCAGATTGATGAGCTGAGCCTGGGGCCAGCCAGGTCGGTGACAGGAAAGGTGGCAAAGACAGGCAGAGTGGGACTCCTGGCCGCATGGAGAAACCAAGCGCCGCATGCGTGTGGCATCGGGCTAGACTAGGTCAACAGCTACATGCTTTGCTCAACAAAACGGGTCCAAGGTGCTCTGCAGCTGTTCAGGTCCTCAGACACCCGGTGCCCCCGTGCTGCCACCCCCCAGCTAGCTTTTATTTTAGGTGGTGGGTTCGCAGGTATTTATTCCATTACTTAAGATGATGAAGTAGCACCCCCCAGCTCCTGCACATCCCTGTCCCCTGCATCCCTGTGGCCCCTGCGCCCTTGTACATTGCACAGGCTCCCCCTCACTTCCCCTGCATGTCCAGGGGTCCTGTGCGCTAGCTCTCACACTTTCTTTTATCACCACCCATGACATGAAACACACTTTATTTGTATTGCTTTTTGGCCCTTAAGTACATAGAATTGATAATAATCTTTGGCTCCAGACCCACTCTCATCATTGGCCTGTTCATGGCCCATTTTAATGTATGTAGCTATTTACTTAGTTATTTTAAAAAATTCATTTTTCTTTATTGAGTTTAGAGAGAGAGAGAAACATTGATGAGAGAGAGCATCGACTGGCCGCCTCTTGCGTGCCCCACATTGGGGATTGGGCCTATAATCTGGGCATGTATCCTGACCAGGAATTGAACCAGCAACCTCTTGGTGCATGGGTCGATGCTCAACCACTGAGCCACACCAGCCAGGCTTACTTCATTATTTTAAGTAATGTAATAAACACCTATGAATCTACCGCCTAAAATAAAAGCTAGCATGTTAACAATAACTGCATCTAACCATAGGATCTCTCCCACAACCCATTTTCCCGCCTTCTCACACTAGAGGAAATCATCACCTCAAATCCTATGTCATAGTTCCCATACTTTCTTTTTTCAATAAATAAAAAAAGTTTTGCGTTTTCAGGAAATTCAGTATTTTTACTGTAGTAATTTTAACATAACAATCCTTTGGCATTTTCCACTTAATATTATAATTCTCAGACATATCCATGTTGTCTCTTACTGCTGTAGTTCATTCATTTTTGACTATTATATAATATTCTACTGGTGGCTGAGTTATGGTTTATGTATTTACTCTTCCACTGATAGGAATTTGGGTTACTTTCACAGTTTTTCTGCTGTAAGCAGTGCTGCTATGAATGTTCTTCTATTCGAATTCTGTATTGTGAGCCAGTTCTTCTTGCAAATACACCTTGGAGTGGAATTACTGGATTATAAACTAGGTGAACATTTAGCTTTAGAGAAAGTGTCAAACTCTTTCCAAAGTTCCTTTACTGATTTAAAATTCCATCGGCAATGCATGGAAGACCCTATAATCCAACATTTGGTATTGTCTTATTTTTTTACTAGTTGAAAAGTTATAAAATGGTAACTTGTTCTAACCTTGACTTGCATTTTTCCTGATCCTTCAAATGCTGAACATCTCTCGCCTCCTGTGTTTGCACACGTGTGTCCTCTCGGTGAAATGCCTGCTCATGTCCCTTGCCCACACTGCTGTGCTGTTATGATCATAGGAGCTCTTTGCACTCTTCACACTAACCCTGTCACGGCATCATGGAAACCTGCTCTCAGTTTATAATCTGACTTTTCATTTTCTTTTTTTTATCCTCACCTGAGGACATTTTTGCATTTATCTTCAGACAGAGCGGGAGGGAAAAAGGAAGGAAGAGAGAGAGAGAAAAACATCGATGTGAGAGAGACACATCAACTGGTCGCCCCCACACGACTGGGGTACGAACTACAACTGAGGTAGGTGCCCTTAGCGGGAACCGAACCCAGGACTCTCTGGTCCACAGGCCGACGCTCTAACCGCTGAGCCAAACTGGCCAGGGCTGACTCTTCTCTTTCGTTAGTTCATGGAAAGATGTCCTTCCATGAACCAGGCTCCTCGCTGCAGTGGAAGCGAATCCAGCAATGTTTCACAGTCACGGCTTTCTGTGTTCTGTTAAGATGCGGTGCTTAACCCTAACGTTAAAAAAAAATCATGTCTACTTTCTACTAAGAGTGTTAAAGTTTGTTTTTGACACTGATGTCCTTTTTATCTATTGGGGGTTGGTTTTTTGTGATAAGAGTTTTCCATACGGAGAATTAGTTTTTCCAGTTCCTTCTTTCCCCACTGCCCTGACGCACCCTGTCGAGTGTGTGTTCGGTTTGTCTGGACTTTTCTGTTCTGTTTCATTCGTCAGTTTGTCTGTCTCTCCTCCACTGTCTCAGGTACTCCAGCTCCATGGCAGATCCTGGTCTCTGGTAGGGCAAGTCCTGCCTGTCCTTCTTCAGCTTATCTTGGCTACCATTGGAAAAATCGTTTTAACTGTGACCTACTCACATAACAAACGCATACACAGCCACAGGATAACGTCCGGAACCTCCCTTACCGCAGTGTGCCCTGACTGTTTTTATTCTATTCTATTTCATTTAAAGAAACAACGAAAGAGCTGATCAGCACCCGCTAAGTTGATGTCCTACCCTACATGATGCACCGTTTGGAAAACCGAGCTTCTCCAGCACATTGGATGGCCAGACCTGGTGTGGACTTTCACGTGGGTTTTCATTCACAGACACTGTGCAGACACTGTGTTAACTGTGCTTCCTGCCAGGCAGCAGCGGAGAAAAGGGTCCGGGCCCTGACATCATGTCATGCAGTGTTGGCTAAACAAGTCCACAGAGAAGTTCTCTAGGGAATGATCTAGAAGCTGTCACCTGCAGGGTAAGTTAGCAGGGTAAAGACAACGGGAGTGGGTTCTCCAGCAGAGGAATAAACAGCAAGTGCAAAGGCTCTGAGCACGAAAGCCCTGGGAGGAGGCAGCGTGGCTATAGCACAGGAGGGAGAAGAAGGGTCCTGCTGAGCCCGAGGCCGTGGTAGGAACGTGGATTCTTTCTAAGAGTGGTGACGAGCATGGAAGCATCTCAAGGATGATTCTAGCTGGTTTGCGCTTAAAACTCTTTCTGTTTCTGGGAGAGAAACCCCAGAGGTGTTAGTGCGGGTCAGGGCAGGAGTGGAGTCAGGGGCCAGTTAGAAGGCCAACCATCAGGCTGTACCTCATGCTGTTCCAGCTGCCTCATTGTGCCCTCCCCCACCCCGCCTTTCTCGTCCTCCCAGGCCCACTCCACCTTCCTAGGTCTGCTAGCAGAAGGGGGGCTCCCTCCCGGCTGACCCCAGAGCACCTTCTTAGCTCATGCTGATCTTAGAGTGTCCATCACCCAACTCTCTGGCCATTTACCCATATTTATTTATTTATTTTTATGAAAGAGACAAGTTCTGCTTCCCCAGCACCTGGCAACAGCGCCTATGCTGGGGTAAGACCCTCGAGAATAACTCAAATGTTGAAATGCACCCCTCTCCCCCACTGTCAAAGAGGCGGACGAGCTCTTCGGTTCGGTGGAGCTAGACACAACCAGAGAGAAGGGCCGAAATGTTGGAAGCCCAGAGAGGCCAGCCTGAAAACATGGGAGAAGGCTTTCCTGATTCGCCTTTCTGTCGGAGACAACTCTGAGGTCCCAGGGAAAGGGCCCACAGGTTACCTTCGAATGTTGAGGGCAAAAACGTTATCACTGGCCTGCCTGCTGTCCAGGAGCCGGATTCCCCACGGTCCTCAGGGACGACCCCACCCATCTCCACGGTGCTCAGGGACGGCCCCGCCCCTCTCCACGGTGCTCAGGGACGGCCCCGCCCCTCTCCACGGTGCTCAGGGACGGCCCCGCCCCTCTCCACGGTGCTCAGGGACGACCCCGCCCCTCTCCACGGTGCTCAGGGACGACCCCCGCCCCTCTCCACGGTGCTCAGGGGCGGCCCCGCCCCTCTCCACGGTGCTCAGGGACGGCCCCGCCCCTCTCCACGGTGCTCAGGGACGACCCCGCCCCTCTCCACGGTGCTCAGGGACGACCCCGCCCCTCTCCACGGTGCTCAGGGACGGCCCCGCCCCTCTCCACGGTGCTCAGGGACGACCCCGCCCCTCTCCACGGTGCTCAGGGGCGGCCCCGCCCCTCTCCACGGTGCTCAGGGACGACCCCGCCCCTCTCCACGGTGCTCAGGGACGACCCCGCCCCTCTCCACGGTGCTCAGGGGCGGCCCCGCCCCTCTCCACGGTGCTCAGGGACGGCCCCGCCCCTCTCCACGGTGCTCAGGGACGACCCCGCCCCTCTCCACGGTGCTCAGGGAGGACCCCGCCCCTCTCCACGGTGCTCAGGGACGGCCCCGCCCCTCTCCACGGTGCTCAGGGACGACCCCGCCCCTCTCCACGGTGCTCAGGGGCGGCCCCGCCCCTCTCCACGGTGCTCAGGGGCGGCCCCGCCCCTCTCCACGGTGCTCAGGGACGACCCCGCCTGTCTCCAAGCCCACTGCCCCCTCCTCCTGGCACCTCCTGAATCAGGGTGACAAGCCCAGCTTGGCTCCGTAGGCACGGGAGAGCCGGGGATGCCAGTCAGGGAAGCGGGGCGTGAGAGTGGGCATCACCGACCCTCCTGTTCCCCAGCGCCCACCTGTCAGGGAGGAGTGGTGCCCCCGCAAGGTGCGAGGGGCCTTAAGTCCCTACTCAGTCCTACAGGTCTGAGGGCACTGGGCCCAGGGCTGGCACAGAGCTCGCCAGGGTCACCTGTGCTTCCTGCCAGCACTACGGGCAAGGGCCACCCTGGTGACGAACCCTGGAAGGAGAAATGCCAATGAAAACGAAGATGCTTAATTCTTCCCACTGAACATCCAATTTCCCCTTCACTTTCTCTTTCAGAGTCTCTCTGTCCTTTGAACTGTCCAGAGATCTTTGTAACGGCTAAAGGAGCCTCTGGCCAGTCTCGCAGCGGTTGCTAGGGGTTGAGGGGCCTGGGGAGTGACTGCTGAAGGTGAAGGGCTGTGCCATCCCAAGTATGCATGTCACTCTGACGTAAGAAACGGCTTCAGCCGAAGGCATCTGAGCACAGAGCTGGGACCGGAACCTTCGTCCTCTGACCTGTAGGGGTGGCCGCTGCCACTTCGAGTGTCCAGGGCCAGCCTGCGGCCGTGGGTGGGAGGCGCTCTGACAGGAAGGGGAGAAGGGGCCAGCAAGCTGTGGTTGGGGGCCACAGAGAGTGATGCTTGTTACTTATCTCGGACACTGTGACGATTCAGCAAGCCCCGGCAGTGCTGAAGTGAGGGGAAGGCTGTCTTGGTGCCCTCTAGTCTTCTCGGGGACCACACATCCCCTCCCCCCGCCTGCTTGGCAGCCCCTCAGGACCAGCCTCTTCTCCGCCCTCACCTTTCAGCTCTGTCCCTTCCCGTGGGGCCTTGCCAGGGTCCTGGCTGCCTGGCCACAGTAACGTATTGAGCACCTACTCCGGGCCAGGAGCTATGCCACGTGCTTGCAGACTCTATCTGCAAGGGGAGATAGTGTTATCCCCATTTCACAGATGAGAACAGCAAGGCTATAGAGACTTGAACTGCATACTTGAAATGGGTGAATTATCTGGTATGTGGATTATATCTCAATAAATGTGTTATATTAAAATTTGAAAATAAAATAGGGAACACAACACACACCCCAAAACAAATCACATGGCTTGGTAATCACGCCTGAGAGATGAGGCAGGAATAAGAGGATTCTATGTTCTATTGCATTATCAAGGGAAACTGAGGCACCAGAAAGTGCCTCTACCCTGAGGTCCTCCCAGGAAGGGCCTATTTTCCCCACTTTTGCCCAGGCCTGTCCTCCCTCCTGGGAGGTGTGAGTGTGTGGGGGTGTCTGAGCATGAGGGGCTGGTCTGCACCATGCTCAGCCTCGGCCCTCACGAAGCCTCGACAGGTGACAGCCAGGCTCACCTGTACGATCCAGAAAGGACGTATCTCCAGTCCGAGATGATGAACTTCTCCCGGATCTGGCCGGCGAACTTCCTGCCTGACTTGGCGCAGTACACCTCTGCTCCCACGCTCCGGATGCAAATGTTCTGGGGAGGGAGAGCCCAGGGGTTGCTCGCTGACTATTACAGACACACGTTTGCCGGGGCACGGTCTAGACGGACAGGGTTATCGCTCTCGCTGGTGGGATTGGGGCCATTTTTATTTTTTCCTTGGCTGAATTTTCTAAATTTCCTTCATTGTCCTGACATTACTCAAAGTAATGGAAGAAAAAAAAAGGAAGGGGGAGATGGTAGAATTTCTAAAAAGCAGGAAATGGAAGACGAGCCCTGGTGCCCACGGCGCTCTCGGTCTAGGCTCCCAGGGCCCACGGTCGGGCAGGTCTGGCCTTGCCCTGTAAGTGACTTTGGTGACATGAGTCCCTGACCCCAAGCTGGTCGGAGGGAAAGCTCAGTGAAGCCAGAGGGGTTGGCTTGGTGGAGACCCGAATGGGCCCTCAATAGTTTTGTCTAAAAAAAGGCATGTCCATGACCCAAGTCGTGGTCCTGGTTGTCCCCGTCCTCCCCAGCAGCGCCTGCTGCCCCAGCTCTCGTGGGACCCTTGGCCTGCTGGCGAGGGGACAGGCAGGCGAGGCGTGGGATCTCAGAGGAAGGGGTTGCACTGCTGGGCCCAGAGAATGCCTGCCAATGCTGGACGGGTTCTGGGAGGGGCCCCCAGTGCCTCCAACAGCTCTGAGAGGGCGGGAGGAGGGTCACATCCCCCTGTCCCTTGGTGGGCAGAGGACTGTCAGGTGGCCCAGCCATGAAGGCAAGGCTGGCGCTGACTCGCCTGTTTCCATGGCCTCGTGCTGAGCAGGTGGGGTCCAGGGAACATCAAGCAGACCCAGTAATCAGAGGCCTGTGACACCAGGAGGTGCCTGGACTCAGCTGCAGGCTGGTCAGCGTGGAGGGGACAGGAGGGGGAAGGAGGAGGGCGGGTCTCCAGGAGGCTGAGCCAGAGGGCAGCCAGCAGGGAAGCAGCCACCAGCTGCTCAGGCACACCTGCTCACGAAAGCTAGGGATGCTTTGACGTTTGACCCTGAATTAGCTGCCCCAAAGTTGACACTGAGGGAACCTTGTCTCTGGATTTCTTTTCTCATTCCCAGAAGAAGGAAGTGGGGGATTTGGTTCAGTCCGAGGGGATGAGCCCGCTGTGAGGGCACAGAGTCCTGGGCAGGAATCACAGGTGCTGGGGTTGCCCTGCCCGGTGGAGCGTCCTGGGCTTCTTGGCTGTGGGTGCGGGAAGGGTGATGCAGAGACCGGTGCCCAACAGCTGCCCCGGCAGCCGGGAGAGGTCAAAGGGCGATGAGCCTGAGTGAGGCCAGTCTCTTCCAGGTCAGGGCTCCATCCCATGGGACCCTCCTGCCCCTTCTCCCGTCACTGCAACCTTGGAGGCCACACTTGCCTCTGATGTGGCTTCAAGGTGAGGAAGGGCCAGCTGACCTACCCTCTGAGCAAGAAATGAACCTTATTATGTGAAGCCATAGACACAGGTGGTATCTGTTGCCACGGCAGAGCCTTTGGACTCTCAGCAGCCCTACCTTGAGGTGGCTGTCGGAGATCTGCACTTTGTCACACATCTCCTGGAAGAGCCGCACGCCGCCCTGGTCCAGGAGCACACAGACGAGCACCCCACGCTTGGTGGCCGCCTCCAGGATGTCACAGAAGATCTCCACATCTGTGAACACGTCCATCAGGATAGCCAGGACCTGGCCAGGGGAGAGGTGTCAAATACCAGAAGGGTCAGGTCCAGTGCAGACTGGTTTCGGCCAAACTTCCTCAGTCCGGGTGCCTGGGAGAGCTGGTCCCACTGGTGCGGATGGAGGGGGTGCAGGAGGGCAGGGTTCCAGGAAGGGAAAGGAAGAGCTGGAGAGGAGCCTCCTGCCTCCAGCGACCCCTTCCAGTCCCCCATATCCCTTGGCCTCTCTGTTGGAGTGGGGAATGCAGAGTGAGAGAGTGAGAAGCAAAAAGAGAGGGGAAGAGATGAAGGGGAGGTGGCGGGCAGGTTCAGAGGAGAGGGGCAGACTGCAGGGCATGGGTTCTCAGCCATCTGGAGCTCAGAAGCGCTCTGTGGCCACTGGCTTCCCTATGTTTCTAAGCCCTGGAATCTGGGCCTCCAACATGATCTGTGCAGAGACCTTGTGTATGAACTGGACCAGACCGAGATGAGCCAGTGGGATGAAGGGAGTCCGGCATCTTCCATCGCAACAGAAACTCGGGGAGCGGGAGCCCTAGATAGCCAGCAAGGGGGAGGGACGGGCTGCTTCCTGCCCAGCATGCATCCCTCTCCTCCCAACAGCACCCCAGTCTCGCTTTCAGAAACCACCTCTCCTCCACCGCCCGATTTCACTTACATGTGGAATTTAAAGAACAAAATAAACGAACACACAAAATTGAAACAGACACAGAGAACAGACTTATGGTTGCCAGAGGGGAGGAGGTTGGGGGAGTGGGTGGAAAAGGTGAAAAAATCGAGGACACTTTGGTAGCTATAAGCCACAGGGATGTAAAGTGCAGCACAGGGAACACAGTCAGTAATACTGCAGTAACTATGCATGGTGCCGGGTGGGTACTGGGACTATCGGGGGACACTTCGTAAAGTGTATGATTGTCTAACCACTATGCTGTGCACCTGAAACTAATACCAAATAATACTGAATGTCAACCATAATCGAAAAATGTAGAAAATCACTTTTTCTCCACAATCAATGTGGTTTGGGTGGGGTCATGCTCTGGGCTGGGCATGGGGCGGGCACATCAATAAGGCCAGACCAATGAGAGCAGCATGTCCCCCACTGGCCACAGAGATTGGCTCAGGAGTGGTCACGTGATCTAAAGTATTCTAATGAGGGTCAGCCCAGGACTTCTGCTGGGGCTCTTGGGGCAAGGAGGCAATCTTCCTACTTGCTTAGTTAGCAGACTATGAACTACAGCTGAGGCCTGAAAGTGAAGCCGCCCCGGGGACGAGGTGGGGGGGGGGGGCAGCGGAGGCAGCTGGGGGGTGGGGGGCAGATGGCCAGCAGCAGCATTTCGACATCTGCTTTCAGTCATGCCTGAAGCCAGTCCTACCCTTGACTTTTCCACTGTGGATGTCAGCGTATTCCTCTTCTTAAGCCTGCTTGGGGTTACTTCTGTGATATTGTAATTTATAGTGAGAAATGTACACTTTGTCTTTGCCCTGTTGCTGGCACCAAGCTCTGAAAACCCGTGGACTTTCCTGAGAGAGGTCCTCCTCCGTGGGGGGCACCGGGAAGACGCTGTGACCAAGGAGTGGGCTCTACGGGACATCCCGGCCCCTGGTGGGGCTCAGCCTCGGAACTTCCCGAGTGCAGTCTGGGTGGGAGGAGCTGCCGACAAGGAAGTCGGGAAAGATGTTCTAATGGGCAGACCCCGACCCTTGAGAAGCTGCCCTGTGATGGCACAGGTAAGTGTCTACATGTTCACGTGTGCGGCACCAATAACATGAGGTCCTCTGTGCCGAATGACAAATGGCACCTCATCCAAATTATCGGCAGAAGAGGAGATTCTCTCACCCATTCCTTGACACCTAGGTGTGGGCACGGAGGTGGGGAGCTCCCTCTGGCTTCTCAGGGAGACCCCCCTCCACCCACCCAACCTCCCAGAGAGCTGATTAGACTTTTTTTTATCTACAAAGAATCTGCATTTCTTGCCCAGAGGAAAGGAGAGGCAGGGAGAGGCAGAGGGTCGGGGTTGAGTGAGGAGAGGGGCTTGCCTGCTAATGTTCCTCAGCTCTCTGGTCTCAGGGCCCCTTTACACTCTCAAAACTGATTGAGGATTTGGTTTATGTGCATTATAGCTATCGATAGTTACCATATTAGAAACTAAAACTGAGAAAATTTTAAAATGTTCGAATATTAGTTACTTAAAATAATATTAAACCCATTCCATGCTCACTTAAGTAACCATTTTAATGTAAAATAGCTACATCTTCCAAAACAACAACAGAACGTAGTGAGCAGGTTTCGCAGATCTCCATGGTGTCTGGTTTAAGGGACAGCCGGCCTTCCGACTGCTTCTGCAGCAGTCTGTGGTTTGGGTGGAAGTTTATGAAGATGAACTGGCCTCACACAGATCAGTGGTTAAAAGGAAACGGACCTTACAGATCCGCTTGAAAGGGTCTCCGGGATCCTCGGCTACACTTCTTTTTTTTTTTAATTTAATTTTATTTTATTATTATTTTTTAATCCTCACCCGAGGACATTTTTCATTTTTTTGTTCAGATAGAATGGGAGGGAGAGAGAGGAAGATAGAGAGAGGAAGATAGAGAGAGAAACATCGACGTGAAAGGGACACATCGAGTGGCTGCCACCCGCACGACCAACCAGGACCGGGGACAAACTGCAACCGAGGTACGTGCCCTTAATGGGAACTGAACCCGGGTCTCTCTGGACCACAAGCCGACGCTTTAACCGCTGAGCCAAACCGGCCAGGGCTCGGCCACACTTCTTAATCGTGGTTTTTGTTTTCCACATTTTATGTTGCTTCGACATCCCAGAGCTAACTGATTCCTAGAGACAGCAAACACCTGGCCTATGGGCACGTCTATGATATGCAACCCAAGCAATCCAGAGCCAGTACCCCCAACAACCCCATTTAACTCTCACACAATAAGCCAATAGCACCCCTGCCCTTAATCACCGAGGGCCAGGTCTAGGACAACTAGGGACCACCTATAGCCCAGAGCCACCAAAATGATTCAAACCAGCCAGCCTTAAACTGCTTGCTGTGCCTGCCTTCTCTTTCCTGCAAAACCACAACGAGGGCTTGTGTCCATGTTCCCCTTGCTCCTGCCCCTGACCACTCCGTGCTGCCCTGTGGCCCTGCATGGCACGCTGTGCCTTCTGTTTCGGGGGAGCTGTGCCTACAGACGTCTTCCTCCACGTCTGCCTGGCTCGCTGCACCTGGTTCAAGCAAATCTCAGGCACAGGTAAGAACGAAGAATTGTTGCTCGCTCTGTGGCCCAAAGTGTAAGGCACAGCTGCTCGTAGCCCGCTAGCTTCTGGTCCTTGTCCCCACCCTCATCTCCTCGAGGCCCCATGTCCACAAGCTCTGTCCCACGAGATGGACGACAGTGCCCCTCGCCTGGACCCTCAGGCCCTCTCATACCTGGCCTCTGTGTTGGACACTCCCTTCCCTCTCTGCCTGGCAAAGTCTTACTCAGCCTTGGAGACTCCACGCCGAGGCCACGTCTTGGCGAAGCCGGCCTTAGTCACCTTCCCGTCCACTTCCAGGCACAGAGGGTTGCTCAAGTTCAGGGCTGCCACCCACCAGCGCATCCTCCCCTCCCCCGCCCTCCTCCTCTCCTTCCTCCAGGGCTGCTGGCAGGGGGCTCCCCAAAGGGAAGGAGGCTTCTGCCGTCCTGCTTGGCTGACAGGATTTCAGGCACTGTGACCGGCACATGGCCAGGAGTTCTCAGTGTCCTCGATCACTGGCCAGAGGTGGCTGCCTGCTGTCAGCTGGGGCTCCTTCCACCCCAGGTGCAGGCCTGTAGCTGCAACCCGCTCTCCTCCGCCCCCGCCCCCGCCCCCGCCCCCTCCCAAAGCTGCAGGGCAGCGGGGACGGGCTCCAGGGAAAGAGACTTGTCATCTGTGAAGATTCTCCCTCTCCGGCTCTGTCTCTCATCACTTCTAAATTTTGGTTACATTGAAAAGAATTCAAAAGAGAACAAGCTGATATTTAAGCTCATTTTGGGGGGCTGGGGGATCCAGGTTTAATGCTGAGTGAAATCAGAAGGCTCCAGAAAGCCGCCAGGGGTGGGGAGGTTGTGTGGGGGTGGGGAGGGAGGGAAAATCTAGACCGAAGGTGACAGCGGGTGGAGCTTGGGCTCTCCAGCTGCTGGGCTGCTTCGGGGCATCTCCTGTCTCCCAGCCAGGACAGCCATCCAATCCACAGGTGGCCCCAGGCAGGCAGCCAGGAGTGGGGCCCTAGGCGGGGCTGGCTGCACACCCTGGGGCAAGTCCCTTAGCGCCCAGCCTTGGATTCCACGCCAGCCTGAGGTCCCCCCCAGCACCACCGCCAGCCTGAGGTCCCCCCCAGCACCACCGGCCAGCTTCTGAGTGCTGGCTCTGTTCTGCTGTGTGGGAAGTTCCCTGACCTCCCAGGGGCGGGGCCTCAGCTGTGGGGAAATTCTTAACTGAAGCTGCCACTCACAGGGTGAGTGCCGCTCCCTGGAAAGAAGCCAGGTTAGGGCTTGTGAAACAAAATCCCCTGGCTGAGTCCTTCTCCTCCCTCCTACTCCCCACCGAGCAGGGCTCCCCTCTGCCTCTGCGGTGAGGCCAGCTGCTGTCCTTTTTCTCACCAACACAGCATGTTCTGAATGTCAGACAACACAAGCAAGGAGATCTCACCTGAAGAAGACCTGGCTCTGTTGGTGCTGAGTTGTGGCCACCTCTTTGGGTGAGTCTCCTTTGCCACAGACCCCACCACTCCCTCTTGTCCCAGGTCCCCATGAACTTCACCCATTTTGTTGCCTGTCAAGCCTTTGTAGGCAGGCAGGGTTTGTGATATCTTCACACACACGCGCGCACACACGCACACGCATGCACACACACACACACACACACACACACACGAGGGCTTACGGATGGGCTGCTCCCATGCAGATGCCAGGGGTCTGGATCCCTAGATACAGTCTGTCTGTGAACCTACACTGTGGTCCCTGCTCAGAGCCTTCAGTGGCACCCCATTGCCCACTGTGGGAAGAGAAACTCCTGTCCCACCTCCTGCCACTCCGAGTGACCTGCAGGCTCAAGCCCGGCACGCTCTGTGTCCAGGCCTTTGCACACACGGTTTCCTCTGCCTCGGACCCCTCGCCTTCCCTGCTTTTTGCCTGACTGACGCCTACTCCTTCTCAGGACCCAGACCGAAGTCTTTTTCAGGAAGCCTTGCCTGAATTCCCAGGCTAAGCCGGGCGCCTCACCTCCATCCTTCCAGATGAAGGGGCCACTCCACGGGGACACATTGTCCCCTGTCCTCTCTGACTTTGCTTAGACCTTTCTGCACGCAAGTCTGTGCAGTGCCTGAATCCGCTGGTGGTCAGGCAGAAAAGGGACCGGGTTAGATCTGAGGTATAGGAAGAGTGTCTGCAGCAGCTTGGAGCCTGGCTGGTTTGGGGTCGGGATGGAAGATGAAGGCCAGGCAGGAAAGTATTGTAGGAAGGGTGGCGGCTGGGACCCAGGCTGTGACAGATGGATTCAGGAAGTCAGTGAGCCCGGGTGAAGCGACACCCCTGACTCCATCCTCAGAGCGGGATACACCCCCCCCCCCCCCGCCAGGCCTCATTGCTCCCCGCCCGCCTGTGACCGGTGCAGACTCCGCCATCGCTACCTGGCTGGTCCTGCTGATGCAGCGGCGGACGAGGTCTCGGATGTTGTGCTTGTCCGTCTGGAAGTACACGGTGGCGCTGGACTCCTCCTTCAGGTAGGGTTTCTCGGCCGAGGCCCAGGTGTGCAGCAGGGCGGGCTCGCTGTCCTCTGAGGCCACAGGGTAGTAGGTACCTGACTGCAGGGAGCAGGAGTCGAGCCCCTTGGTTCCTGCCTCAGCCCCTGCTGGGGTCTCCGGAGTATGGGGGGGCTCCTTGGCCTGGGCCTGGATATACTGGGCCTCCGCCGAGGACAAGAAGTCCACCTCGCCTTCTTGGCTGAGCACCTGCCGGTAGGCCTCGGGCCCGCCATCCAAGAGGGCATCTGTGGCCAGCCGGGCGCTCTCGTTGTCGCTGAAGTCAGTCCTGGCTAGCCGCACCCACCGGCTCTTGACATCTTCCAGACGTTTCCGGATCTTGCCCATGTGCCTTGACTGGCTCATGCTGCTCTGTCCCTGAGTCGTGGCAGGGAGGCTGGTGCTCCAGCTGTCCCTGATGTTAGGCGCCAGCCGGCCACACCACAGAGGAGGATGCGCTCCCAGACTCTTGGAAGCACCAGCGACCAGGACGAGCCGCCACCCCTCACACCCGCTCCAAGGAAGTGTCCCGCTGTTCTGAGTGATGCTTCAAAGAGATCACCAACTGCGGCCAGGGGCTGGCTGATCTCTGAGTGACACCTGCCCTGCCCGCCAGCCAGGGGCGCTGGCCCAGTCACACCTTGGCACACACAGCCCTGGGAGAGTCCCCTCCTCTCAGCGAGCCGGTTTCCCGCTTGCTTGTTGCACAACTCTCCCCGGACCCGCTTGCTTGCTGCACAACTCGCCCAGGGACACTCGGGTCTTCATTACCAAGCAGGAGCCTCTCCCAGCACCATTGCCCCATGTTGGGTCCCTACTGTGCTCCTCAGTTCAAACACTCAGTGCTCCAAACACCAGCCTTTCCCCGGGTGTGCTGCCCCCGAGACCTGCCTTCCGACCTGTGTGAGCTGCCAGCCTGGATGCGCGCCAGGGGCTCCTCCTTTCTCTTGGTAACACCCCATTCCCGGTCCTCCCTGTCGTCTGCAAAAGCTCTTGTCTCCCTTTTCTCTCCTGCATTGTGATCGGCATGGTCGTGTTTGAACAGAGGCCCGGAGAGGTTCCAGGTCTGGGGCCAGCGCCGCTGCCGCTGCCGTGGGCCGGCTGCTGGGAACATCTTGAGAGAATCTGCCACTGCGTCTGGGCCATCGGACGGCGGGATCCAGCCTCTCGCAGCTGAGGGGCAGGTGGCAGCAGCGGGTGAAGCATAGGAGCTCCCAGCGGAGAAGCCGTGTGTCTTCCAGGTCGGGTGGTGGGCAGCCTGTGCCCTGGGACGCAGCAGCTGAGTCCCGACCGGCTTTGACTGGGTTCGGCCAGAAACAGATTCTGAGACTAGGATTCAAGCGCAGGCCTCCCTCTGTATCTACAGGGCGTTTGTCCTGGGACCCCCGCGGATACCGACTCCGTGGATGCTCAAGCCCCTATATAAAACGGCGTAGGATTTGCATATAACAGGCACATTCTCCCTCCTCTACACTTTACATCTCTAGGTTATTTCTAGTACCTACTACAATGCAAATGTTACATAAATAGTTATCCTGTATGTTTAGGGAATAAGGACAAGAAAAAAGTCTGCACATGTTCACTACAGAGGCAACCACCGTAGGCCTGACTACCCAGTACAGGTCAGCAACAGCGTAATTTTTTTTTTTCCTGAAAACGTTTGAGCAGCGGTTGGTTGAGTCTGCAGACGTGGAACACACAGCTGAGGACCCTGTGATGCAGAGGTTGCCAGCCGGGAGCCGATGCCAAGAAGCACTGACAGGGAGGGAGTGAGACAGGAAGGGAAGAGAGCCCCCTTGGGCATGTCGATGAGCAGGTTACCCTCGTGGACATCCAGAGGTTGGTGGGAGCACCTGGGGTCCCACACGGCCAGGGCCGTGGGGAGATGGTATAGAACACATCTTGGATGATTCCTACCCAAAGGGTGAGGATGCTGCAGAGTTTGTCTACCAACCCCCATTTGCCATCCGTCTAGGGCTGCTCCAGGGGCCGCGTCGGTTCCCCACGCTGCTGGCTGCCCCGGGTGCTCGCCAAGCCCAGCTGGGAAGCCAGAGAAAGCCCCAGGCAGTCACAGGAGCGCAGGGCAGGGGACTGTGGGAGCGGCGGGTGCCATCGGGGGACGGCAGGGCCCTGCCGGTACCTGCTCAGAGAAGTATGACCGCAGCCTAGGCTTGGGGGCCTTCGAGCAGCGGCAGTCGGAGTCAGCGGCCCCTCCGTGGCAGAGCGACTCTTCGGAGGAAAATTGCTAGAAGCATCTGTGACCTCCCCAGAGCTGTGGTCCGAGGGCTCAGTCCAGTGGTAGACTAGCATTTTCAAAAGCACAGTCCAAAGAAGAGAAAAGGATTTTAAAAAGAAGTTCTTCTCCTCTTTTGAAGGACATTGAAGGAATTCAACTCATGACCTTGGGTAACCCTTCCTTTATTTTGTTTTCTCTCCTCCTCACAATACCTGGGACCTTGACGAGGACAGACAGACCTAACACGCCCTTTCTCCCTCCCTCTCGCCCCCTTGGTAATGTGCCAAGATTCTAGCTGAATCCTTCGGAATGGCAAATACACTGGGTGTTGTCATACCCAGCAGCCCCCATTCCTGAACTGCAGGTGCTCCGGGTGACTGATGGTAAACCGCAGCCCAGGCTGGGAAAGGGACAGTCATCGCTGTCCGTCCTCTCTGCCTCTGCAGCCCAGCCCTGTGAAGTGTCATCGTTCTCGCTGGGGGCACTGGCTGAAATAACAGATTCCCCCTGGGACTGCCATTCCGGAGCAGGAAGGCTGGCCTGCTGAGGGCCACACCTTCAGACACTGGGCCACCCTTGTCACAGAGCCGTCAGTCGCAGGCACGGAGGGTCACGAAGGACTTACCTTCTGTCCTGTGGCCTGAAGTGGAGTCTTTTCTGCTCGTGAGGACCTCTGGCAGTGAGGGAAAGAATGAGCCCTGGCCGGTTTGGCTCAGCAATTAGAGCGTTGGCCCACGAACCAGAGAGTCCCGGGTTCGGTTCCCGCTAAGGGCATGGACCTCGGTTGCAGTTTGGCCCCGGCCCTGGTTGGGGTTGTGTGAGTGGCAACCAGTCGATGTGTCTCTCTCACATCGATGTTTCTCTCTCTCTCTTCCCCCCTCTCTCCCTCCCGCTCTATCTGAAGATAAATGCAAAAAAAATGAAAAATGAGAAGCTGGCTCCTGAGCCAGTGAGCGGTGTCGGGGCTCCCTTTATCAGGGCGATGGTTCTCTACTGGGGTAGGGGGGTTGTACCCTCCCACTCAGAGGGCATCTAGCAACATCCGGAGACATTTTTGTTGTCAGAACCGGGTGGTGTGTGTGATGCCACTGACATCAGGTGGGCATAAGTCAGGGATGCTGGCCGATCAGTGCATGGGGCAGCCGTCGGTGAAGAACTATCTGACCCCAAATGGCGACAGTGCTGAGGCTGAGGAACCCTCACCGAGCGGGAGGTCCAGCCCCTGCCCGCAGCAGGAAAGCCTTGCCCCGGCCACCGGCCACCGGCCACCGGCCACCGGCCACCGCTGCTCATTCAAACCCTTCTCGGCGGTCAAGGGCTCAAGGTCGCCCTTGATTCCCGCCTGTGCCAGGGAGCCTTTCTTGACAATTCCCAAGCAGCTGTGCTTGCCCCTCCTCTGCGCCTACGAGGTGCTGGTAGCCCTGGTCTGGGCCAGTCTCGCCCTAGTGACAGGTGCACTGCCCCCTCGCCCGCTGGGTTCAGATGGTGCCTGTGGTGCTCTGTGACGCTGGTAACTTCCCCGAGCTCCCCTCTTCCAATCACATAGTAACGGCGGCGTTCACGGAGCACGCCCAGCGTACCAGGTGCTCTCTGAGTGCCTCGCGTGTGCTAACCCTTCTACGGCGGCCCCATAGTCGGTGCTAGTCCCAGAGGTTACCTGCCTGACGTGCCCAAGGTCACCTGGCCTGGAAGTGGCAGCACCAGGAGCCGCACGTGGGTGGTCTGCTGACCAACGGGCCCTCTGCCTCTTTCACGGGTGAACCCCAAGGGCATGGGACCTAAGGGAGAAGGCCTGTGTAATAAATGATCCGACCTTCCCCATCTCTGCTCCACTCTAGCCTAAGACAGCACCAATGTTTTTTCCTGAGGTTTTTCCATAGTTGATACAGCTGAAACTTGACAACCGAGCCATCTGTCAGACCCCACCCTAATCAAGTGATCCGAGGGGTCCTCAAGCGTGGGACAAATCGAAAGCTTGAGCCCCCCGATAGGATGCAAGGAGAAGAGCTCAGATCACTTCTGCGACATTCCTGCCAAAGATGCACAACCTGAGTTTCGACGGTTTCTTTTTCATGGTTTTCAGGTGATCCCAGCAGGAGGAGACAGGCAGGCGAATCCAGAGCATGCGACAGTCTAGGGGACGGGACAGCATCGGGGACTGGGAGGGAGCGGGTGGCCTCATACACAGCCCTGCGGTGTTCGTGTGGGTGAGGAAACTGAGGCAGAGGGAGGTGAAGCAAATCCCCCTGGCAGAGCTCGGACGGGGTTTGTCTCCAAAGTCTTTGCTCCCGGCTACGACCAGATTCTGTAATTGCTGGTTTAAATGAGAATCTCCCCCTTTAGCCTGTGAACAATTTAGAGTCGGGGTCGGGGGTCAGGCGAGCCATGACTTAGCTTTTTGGCAACCCCTCCCCCCAGTGCCTCTCCCCGTTTGGGGCTGGCGTACAGCAGGCCTTCACTCAGTGCTTGTTAGATGCATACATGAGGCTGAGGCCAGCTTACCCAGGTAGACTGGACACACAGAGGGTTCCAGAGCTTGTCCGGGGGGAGCCAAGCTGGCAGCCTGGGCTATGGGCCCGGGAACCTGGAAGAACAGGGTGCCCCTGTGACCTCACAGAGCGGCTGCCACCCTCTCTTTACTACTTCCCCATCAAGGCCTGCAGTGGCATGAACACTGAATAATAGTCTCATTACTCAGTGACCTGAGACGAGCCATTAGGTTGAAAATTAGTTGGCGTAATTAACTAGATGGGTACATAGCTCGCTGTCAACACTGATCAATCCATTCTGTGTATAATCAGCTCAGCCCAGGCAGGCAGGCAAGGAGTCCCAGCGCTGTTTCCGGGGCCACCTTCAGTGGGTTTATTCTTGGCCCCCAGTGAAACCACAGCCTAATTCACAGAGGCCGCAGCTGCGAAGTCCTAGCCACCTGAGCTGCCGGCCAGGGCAGCCAGTCTCCTACTTCGGAGTTCCTGGTCGATTGTTCGTGATTTCTGACTTACGTAAAGATCACAGGAGCTCCATTTTTGGTTAGCAAATTTGCAGAAAAAATTTTAAATTAAAATTAAAATTAAGGTATAACGTAGATGCAGGAAAATGTATCCATGTTAGTGTACAGCTCTATGAGGTTTGTGGAAATGAATATAGTCATGATCAAGATACAGACTATTTCCAGAATTTCAAAAATTCCCCAGGCCCTTCCGGAATCAACTGCTTCCCCCACCCCCCAGCCCCTGGCAATCACTGATCTGTTACTTTTCCCTAAAGTTCACCATTCCTGAAT